GGCATAGAAAAAATGTTCAGCATCACTTGTAAAAAGGGAAATGCAAATAAAAACTACAATGAGATACCACTTCATACCAGTGAGAATAGCACATATTTAAAAAAAAAAAACAGGCAACAATAAATGTTGACAAGGGTGTGGAGAAAAGGAACTCTCCTACACTGCTGATGGGAAGGCAAACTGGTACAACCACTATGGAGAGCTGTGTGGAGGTTTCTCAAACTGCTAAAAATGGAGATTCCATATGATCTAGCAATTCCACTCCTAGGTATCTACCCAAAGGAACACAAAACAATAACTCAAAAAGACTTCTGCATCCCTATGTTTATTGTTGCCCTATTTAAGTAGGCAAGATGTGGAATCAACCCAAATACCCAAAAACAGATGACTGGATCAAGAAGATGTGGTATATATACACAATGGAATATTATTCAGCAATCAAAAAAAGATAAACTCATGACATTTGTGGCAACATGGATGGAACTGGAAAAGATCATGCTTAGTGAAATAAACTAGAAAGAAAAAGAAAAATACTGGCTGGTTTCACTCATAGCAGGAGTGTAGAGATCAGGGACCTGGTTGGGGGGGGGGGTAGAATACACATATATCAATTTGTAATAAAGTGAAAAAAGAACATCAACTAACAACTATAAACCAGAGACATTCTATGGGGAAGGACGAGCACATGGGACTATGGTGATGGCACCTAGGTGAAGTGGTGGTGAGAAGTTCACGGGAATTACAACTGAGGTGAAAAAAAAAAATACACAAAATGAAGAATAATGTAAAAAGTGTATAAATTTTTTTAAAAAGTTTAGAGACTCCAAATGTTATATATGAACAGAAAAAAGATCAGTCTTTGCTAGGCAGAGAAAAGTTTTAGCATCTGAATTCATTAAGGTTGTTTTACAATTTGTGTAAGGCTTAATTTGCAATGAGTTAGGCCATTGTGTTGTATAGTTCTCTAGGGCTTTCAACTGAATACCTGATATATCATTTGGGTTCTTGTTCCCTTACTTTACCCCAGTATGCTCTGAATTCTGCATCAGTACCATAAAACTACAGAAAATTTTTCTGTTTTCCAGATGTTGCCAGCCTTCTTTTGTGTACAAAGTAAGACTCTGGCAAATATCCTGGGGAGAAAACTAAACTAATGTTGGAGATCTCTCCAATTTTGTTAATTCACTTCCTGACACTAACAAGTTGTACTTGTTTGTCGCTCAGAAGTTCTTGGTCCAAATTCACTTTGAAAGGTATATTAAAAATTCCTACAGAGGCCCTCCCTGGTGGCGCAGCAGGTTAAAGCACTGCACTAAGAAGATTAAGCCACTTCCTCATGAGTTCGATCCCTGCCTGCGCCAGAGGAGATCCACATGGCGTGGCAGACCTCTCCTGACCCGCCCACTGCTCCCCTCAGCAGTGTACTTCGTCAATCGGCCTGTTTGGCTCCCCACTCTGTCTCTGGTGAATCCTCTCACCCTCTGCTTCTCTGGCCTGTAACCCAGCTCTGTATGAATAAATAAATAAATCTTTAAAAAAAAAAAAAGTTCCTAAAGAAATACTTACTACTGTCCTTTGTTTTTTTTTGTTGTTGTTGTTGCTGATTTAGGAAATACTTATTTTCCACTGTTCCCAGGATTCTAGTTCCTTATTGCCAGAAATATAAAAGTCAGCCCTCCCTAAGTATTCAGTAAGTTTCTCAGACTCAATGTTCAAAACTAAACTCACTGGCTTCCTGTTGAGTCTGTTTTTGGATATCCCCTATTTATGTTAATGGTACTACCTTAACTCACGTGGTTCCCTAAGAAGAAAATTAGTAACTACCCTTAACTATGCAACACCAAATGAAATTGGTCATCAAATCCTATGGATTCTGCTTCTTCAGTAATATTTATTAAACACATGACTCTCTGTTTCCAATGTCCTTACCATCCTATTCAACTGTTATAATAACTTCTTATTTAGACTCTGTTTTTTCTGTTCTCTCTAGAATTATGTTTTCACTCTGCTGCCCAGGTGACCTTTCTAAACTACCAATCAGACCTTAAGGTCTCTGCCTTAAACTTTCACCAGTTTTGTTACAGCCCCACATTTCACTTCCACTAGGTTAGCCACCCCAAATTTTCACATTATTTCTCAGACAGATGTCACACTTTCACACTAAATTCCTTAACCATCTGGAAAATTGTAATTTAGCTTTCAAGACCCAGTAAAAACTCATCTCTGCTGCCTTTATTGACTCCCGACACAATCTCGTCCTCACTTTTCATGTAGAGTTATAACTATTATTTCTATTTCTCTTTCTCCTTTTGTCTGGCCTCCTTTGGTACTTATCCTACTCACCATCATTGTCATTACCACCAGCACCATCAATTCTCATGAAGCAATAAGTATTATTTATTATTTTATTAAATGCCAGGATCAGTGTTTGGTATTTTATATATGTTTCTCCACTTAATTCCATCAACAGTCTAGAAGACAGGTATTATAATTCTTTCTGTCATTAAGGATAATGAATTTCAGAGGTGAAGAAACATGCCTAAAAAGTGGCAAATTCAAATCTAACCCTAATTCTAAACCTGTGCTGTAAGCCCCTATACTGCCATATATTCACATTTTATATTCTCAGCACAGAATATAGCATTTGGTATATGGAAGATTCTCAATAAATGTTTGCTGATTACTAAAAACTATCAAACAAGATAATATAGGAAAGCCATTATAAATGATAAAATTCTGCATGTATATTATTTCCATCTATCCTAACTCAGTTCATGTTTTTTTTTTTCTTCTTCTTCATCATCCTTCCCCACTTCCCCAATAAACACACATTTATCCATCTAGGCACAGTTGAAAGATAATAATTTCTCTAAATATCTAGATGGAATCAGTACCCCTTCTATATGCACAAGGATTCTGTATCTACTTCTTCTATGTATTGTTTATTTGTATACAATTGTTACCTGATCCACCTTAGATTATGAGTTTGGCAGAAAGGAAACCACATTTTATTTATCTCTGAATATTGGAAGTTGTGCCTAGCGAAGTGCCAGGATATGAGAGGTGCCAATTAATGTTTGCTGAATAAATGCAGAATCACTCCTAGAACTGCGTAAGAAGGGAGGTTCTTGTTTGGAACTCACATCCTCCACCTTCCAATTTTAATGAATATGTTAACTAATAACATTGTGCAACTTTAAGGTACACAATGTGATGATCTAATATACATATATATCATGAAACGACAGCCAGAATAAAGTAACTCAACTATCACCTCACACTGCTATCTCGTATTGTGTGTATGAGTATGTGTGATGAGAACATTTAAGAATTACTCCCTTAAGGGTGCACAGTGAATTCCTGGTGGAAATTCTCTGGGGACTATACCTGAGAAAAGAAAGTAAGGATTGCACAAAAATGAACAATGATGTAAAGTACATACAAGTAAATAAATTATGAATTAAAAAATACTGTCAGCAAATTTAAAACAGAAATACAGTATTGTGGGATATAGTCACCAAGCTAAGAATTATTAGATTGCCAGAACGTACTTTCGTATAACTAAAAGCTTGAAAATGAGAAACTATCTCATTTTCTCTACCCTCCTGGCTCTGGCAACTATTAATTTACTATTGCTATAAATATGACTTTTTAATATTTCACATATAAGTGATATCACAAAGTTCTCAGTTTATCTTATTTCACTTAGGTCAATGCACTCAAGGTTCATTCACATTGTCACAAAAGCACAATTCACAAAAGAAGTAATTGATATGCTGGACTTCATTAAAATTCAAAACTATGGCTCTGCAAAAGGCACTGTCAAGAGAATGAGAATTCAAGCTATAGACTAAAAGAAAATGATTTGCAAGAGACACATTGATAAAGGACTATTTCTAAAACATACAAAGAACTCTTAAAAACAAAAATCAGAAAACAACTCAATTGAAAAAAATGGACCAAAAATCTGGGCATCTCATCAAAGAAGATATACAGATGGCAAATAAATATGATGCTCCACATCAATTGCAAATTAAAACAAAAATGAGGTCCTACTAACACACTTGTTAGAATGATCCAAAACACCAACAGCATTAATGTTGGTGAGGATGTGGAGCAACAAGAACTCTCACACACTGCTGGTAGAATGCAAAAATAATAGAGCACTTTGGAAGATGATTTCGCAGCTGTTACAAAACTAAACATATCCTTACCATTTGACTCAGTAAATGCACTCTTTGTTATTTACCCAAAGGAACTGAAAAACATAAATCCATACAAACCTGCACATGGATGTATATAGCAGTTTTATTCATAACTGCCAAATCATACAGGCAACCAGGATGTCCTTCAGTAGGTGAAGGGATAAACTGTGACACATCCAGGCAATGGAATTATTATTAAGCCCTAAAAAGAAATGAGCTATCAAGCTATGAAAAGGCACTGGAGGAACCTTAAATGCATATTATAAAGGTGAAAAAAGCCAATATGAAAGGCTACATACTGTATGATTCCTACTATATGACATTCTGAAAAGTGGAGAAAGTGAAAAGTGTAATGGTTTCTGGAGCTAGAGTACTAGTTATTTTTAAGACAGTAAAACATTCTGTACACTATCATAATGGGTATATTTGTCCGGACTCATGAATACACAACACCAAGAATGAACCCTAATATAAACTACAAACTTTGGGTGATAATAATGTGTCAATATAGTTTATCAGTTGCAACAAATGTACCACAGAATGTTGATAGTTGTGGAGCTAGTCCATTTGTAGGGCAAGGAACAAACAGAAACTATTTCTGTTCAGTTTTGCTATGCTATGTTCTTAAAAAATTAAGTCTATTTAAAAAACATAGCTCTTTTCCTGCTTTTAATAATTCTACCAATATCAAAAAGTTGTTTCCACTATGGTTGAGAAGGTAAAACCACAGCCTGATTATTTCCAAAATCATTTAACTGACAATTTAAGCCTCACAATGACGTTCAAAGAACTTACTTTTCAATTTTCTTTTTACGTTCTTTTTGCCTTTGATATTCTTTTACTTGTTCTCTTTCAATATCCATGAAAAGTCGTCTATATCTCAGGTACTGCTTTTGACGCTAAAGGAAAGAAGTTGTAATTGTTACTAGGAAGGAAAATATTCTGTCAAAGACAAGAAAGTGATATGGTACATAAGTCACATGGAACTAAGTTCTTAACTTCCTTCTTTTTTTTGATGACTCAGTATAATATGACATACAGCAAATGCTTTCTATCTTCAAGCACATTGCTATTAGATATTGCAGACAAAACAGATAAAGAAGTTCCACATTAGTTTACCCTTAGTATAATCCCTTATCTACAGCACTTGAGGACGTGATTATATTTGATATATGTTTACTCTGTTTCCAAGCACTAAGTGCTACAGACAGAAAGAATATGCGAGATACTTTATAAAAGACCAGTAGCCACCTTAACTTTAAAAACCATACCACATTTGAATTCTCTTATTTTCAATGGATTGAACAACATATAATAAAATAATCCTCCCAATTGCATTATTTCCCATCTTTATGAGATGAGAAAAAAAAAAAACCATACCACAAAAACATACTGTAAATATAGCACACTACAGGGGGAAGAGGATGAGGGGCTGTGGAAAACAGAGCATCATACTTCAAAAGGGAAAAAATAAGTAAAAGCAAGTGCTACTATCTTGTGTGTGGTCTGCTTGTATCTTCAAAGGGCACACATGATTAAAGAGCGCTAGTGCACACAGATATTTTTGTGCTTTGAGTGACTGTGTCCTTTTGGTAAATTCAGTCTTCAATCCTATGGATAAATCACAATCATCAGTAGTATTTTTTAAAACACAAATGCTCCAAACCTACTTTTTTCAGAACTGATTCAACAGATCTGGTTTGGGTTCAGATATTTGTATCTTGAAAAAGGCTACACATTTGATTCTGGTGCATGGCTGATGTTAAAAATGTAGGTTTAAACTAACTTTACATTGAAAAGAAAGAAAACAGGAAGCCATAATAAATGAAAAGTCTTCCTTTGTGGGAAATATACACAACTAGGGAAATTCACGAGGATCTCTCCTTTCCTAAGAAGGTACCCTGAATCCTAGGACCCTGAGAAAGAAGTTCAACTAACTATAAAGACACAATCAACTTCTTGGCCTTCATCTATGAAATCTGTACTATTAGTTCATATGTAAGGATACAACCGAATTTCCAATTTCATACATACTACTGGAGTACAAAATGATGTCCAAAAGCATCACTATATACCTCTTTCTTAGCTTCCTCTTGATCTACTCCAGACTGAAATGCCAGTGGATTTTGGAACTTAGTGTTCAATCTTGATTGATATTCATCATAAACCTGTCAGAAAAGTCCAGTCACTCAAAGTGATAAAAACTGCCAAAGCTAGCCCTGTGCAGACATTGATACAGAGTTGTAAACCAATGCTATCTCAATGAAAATTTTTTAACTAAATAAATACTCAGGAATAAATTTAACAGAGGAAAGATAAATTTTATACCCTGAAACTTATAAAACATTGGTGAAAGAAATGAAAGATCTAAACAAATGAAAAGACATTTTCAGTTCATGAATGGAAGGACTTAATATTGTTAAAATTGCAGTACTCCCCCAAAATGGTCAATATATTTAATGCAGTCACTATCATAATTACAGTTGACTACTTTGGAGAAGTTGATAAAATGATCTTAATTCAACACACCAAATTTAGGCATTGTAACTTTAACATGTTCCAGCTCAAAGTCTGAATAGTTTACTTCTTGGTGACCTTACTTTATGCTCTACCAGCTTATTATAGAAACCTAGTTGTGGTCATTGGGTGGAAGAGCCTCCTGATCCCTCTCACTCAGAAACTTCTCATTTGTTTCCCTCTCACACTATAAAAGCCAATAACCACTATAAAAGCCAAAAATAAGACTTTCATAAGAGAACAAACACAATAGGCAACAAGTGGTCTCAATAATATTCTACTTTTTAAGGCTCTCTAGTGAAATTAAGGTAATCTTAGGTAAGGTAGGTTTTATACACCCGTCCTGAAATAAAGCAAGAATCTGCTTTCTGGTCAGCCTTACTGATTTCCACTCAGTGGGTGCCTATCATCCTGTCTACACCCTGTTGCTCAGACTCTACAGTCTGTACTACCTTTCTCCTGTGGGAAGTCTCTCGCTGGTGCTTAGATGGGAGAGGCTGATGGCCATCCAGAAGCATATCTTTTCTCCATCTTTCAACTTTTACAACAGATGGTTGCTGCTGCCTGAGGCGTAAATTCTAAAGATACAAAAACACTGATCAAATTGTGAGAGGGCTGACACCATCTGATACATTAAAGCATAAAGTAGACTTTATACTTCTTGCCAGTATTATGGTTCTTAACTGTATTTAGAAAGCAGTCATAAATTTCTTCATCTATAAAACAAGAACAATAAAAGTATTTACCTCTCAAAGTTATTGTGAGAATTAAAAGAGAAAGTAGATAAAGAAGTAGAAAGTTCTGTAACCGTTTGGCTATGGTAAGTGCTTAATGAATGTAAATAGTTATTCAAAATAGATCTGTAACATTACTGATAGTAATAATATAGGATAAAACTACCATTATCATTGTTGTTTAGAACTGCTCTGGTAAGTTCAGCTCAAACTCTACTTTACTCCTTGCTATTTATACTTCACTATACTATACCTGTTCTCTGGCAGAGCATGGGTCCTGCATTGCATGTAAAACATGTTCATGGCACTCTGGAAACGACTCCTTTCTCCAGCTCTCATTTGTCACATAACAAGAGGTGGGACCATAGTTCCTGTGCTAAAAGACAGCATAAACACTGAATATCAATTTTCTCAGCAGGAGCATCACAGCAAAGCAATAGTAAAAGCTTCAATGAAAAGACCTTAAGTAATTTCCATAGGTCAGAATGGTCTCATACATCACAGAAAAAAAATGACATTATATCATTACTCATTAATATTAACCTAAACACTAAACCCTTGATGCAGTTACTACTTATGTAACTGCTCCCTGTCGATCTGGAGCTAAAACCCAAGCAATTCACTCTCTGCTCCTGACTCCTTGCTTTATTCTGTTCTATTTATTCTCTGATGTGATGCAGGTCTTGAAGACTGCGTGAAACACACTGATGGCACTCCTGAAGCAAGCCTCTTCCACTCTCCCATCTCTCAAAAGATGAGGGTTGCTTGATATGCTGTTCCAAAGAAACAACAGAATACAAAACTGTCTATACAGAAATGATGGATTAGTGAAAACCACAGAATAAAGATACTAGAGGAAAATGATATAACATGGCTAGGGATGTACATATTTATGCATAAAGTTCCCAAACAAATATTAATGTGTGAAAAGAATAGTATACTGTATCTCAAGATACCTATTGCCCAGCTTCAAAAAATAGCAAAGTAATCCATTTAGCTCTTCTACTTTCTTAGAGTATTTTAAGGCAAACCCCATAGTATTCTGACATTTTTTTCTTTACATTGGGCATTTCCTCACTTAACATTTGGGGAAAGAATAGGAAAGAAAGGATAGGAAAGAAAGAATAGGAAATAAAGCAATATTTTTATACAGTTGCCAGCATTTCCCCAAGGTAAAACCCAAAAAGCTGTATAGTTCTACAAATACTCCTGTTGAAGGTCCCCGATAACTCCAAAGACAAGCACAAAAGGGGGAAAAGCCCAGGGAGTTTTGAGGCAGCAAACAGCTTGTTTGTCTTTCACCATAACTGCTTTGCAAACTGGATTCCTGATTTTGGTATATTGCTTCAGTTAACCAAGAGAGTAATCCTTTTAGTGTTTAAAAGACTGAATGGATAAAGCCTAAAATATGATTAAGGATTTAAATTTAAGAAAAATTATTTACTATTAACCCATCAATATTATATAGAAACTTGTCTTTTGTGTAATCCAAGTGATAGCAGTAAGTTTTCTCACCTGGAATCTTTATATCTGGTACGTCCTTAAACAACTGAAGACATTATACTATTAGTCAACTCCAGAAACCTAGTTCCATGCATCCTACATGCAAACTGGCTTGCCAAGAGCCAATCCAAATCTTAAGTAATTTTGTTTTTGTTAACTCTTTGAGAAAGCAGACAATCCTCTCACTGTACTTTGCTTTACCTCTTCTCTAAGAAAGGCTTGGTCCAGGATTTTAGGTCTAACATACTGATGGTACTCCAGAGGTGATTCCTCTCTCGGCCCCTCTTCTTTGATAACACACCAATGTTGGTCAAGAAATACATTCTAAAGTAACAAAGAAAATAGAAAAAATTAAAAAAAACCTGTCTAATCGGCAACATGAGACTCATAGCAAGCACTACAGGGAAAATGATTCCAGGTAAGATATTCTGATACACTTTGATCTACATGAGGATATTACCCTCTTAGCCTAACTCTGTAGAACTTATTCCCAAACCATGTACAGAATAATCTGACAAACTCACTCAAATTCAAGTGATTTAGGATGTGCAACTCCTCCCTACATTGTTCAGATAGGGACAATATGCTTGTGGTAATGCTTGTGTGGTTCTGCAGAAAGTTGTAGCATAATCTTAGCAACATAATCTGATTCTACAATAAGAATGTAAACATGTTTATTAGCCCTTAGAAAGTCAGAACTGATTTGATTTGACTTATACAATTCAGTAGACCAATGTGTTTTACACCTGATACTATACTTCACATTCTCAGTTATTGAGAATGCATAAAATCCAGTTACTTGCTGTTCATTTCTCTTCTATTCTGCTCTACCTGATCTTTTGTGCAGGCCTCATCCTGGGGTGCAGAAGGCAGACACTGATAACCTAACAGGGAAAAGTCTTCTTCCCCTTTCTCATACGTCATATCAAAATATGGCTCCTCAAAATGTACTTTCTAACAGAGGGAAAAACACAAAATTGTCTAGTTAACATGAAGCAAAAAAAAAGAAAGCTTTATTGAGAACTAAGAACTTTACAATAATTTTTTTAAATTCAGGATAAGGGGAAATATAAAATATAACAGAAAAACCATACTTTTAAAAATCAGTTCTGAAATCTAGCTGAGAACAGTCTTTGCCAGCTCCAAACTAAATCCTAAGCAATTTCAGTTTCTGCTGGTCTCTCTCTTCTGTCCTACCTTATCTCTGATGGAGGAATGATCTCTGTGTCTATGCAGAAAATCCTAGCAGACACCCAGAAGAAATGCCTCCCTCTCTCCCCTACCTATCAAAATTGATGCTGGCTGATTCCAACATGCTTTCTTAAAAAAAAAAAAAAAAGGACAAAATATCAATTGCTCAATTAATAAAAATAGACTAACGATTAATACATTAGGCTGTAGTGGGAACTGCGTAGTTAAGAGATATCAGAGCATCAGAGTATAACTGGACATTTTATGGAACAAAACAGAACCCCATACTCTATTCCATATAGGTCAAGCCACAGCCATAACTAATTTATTTGTTGTTGGTCCCTTTCTTCCCCTTTTTGGTCTAACTGATTTATGGGGGGGAGGGCTGGCCTTGGAACCACGGTGAAAGATACTGCTGGACTCAGGTAGGCCACCCCCTTTTTCTATCTTTCAACTGTTAAAATGAATGATGTCTGCCAAAATATTTTCCCTAATGAAGGAGATTTAAATAAAAAAAAAAAAGTAAATAATTCAGACAGAGACAATATGCTACTGGTTATACAATGAAAACCCGAAAATCAATCATGAAACTATTTTTTTCAACTATGGCTCTCCAAATTAACTGTAACACCACCCCTACAAATCCCACTTCATAGGTCAAATACCTTATTTATTCCTGCAAAATTTCCTTTGTACTCTAGTTACCTGATCTTCAGGGAGAAAATCCTGGTCCTGCCATGGGATTAGAATAGTTTGGTCACAGGAAAGAAGACGCAGGTCTCTAGGTCCAAAATTCTGGTTTTGAGTAACAAAAGTATAGCTTTGGGGTAGAAAATCCTGGACTTCCAACATAATATTCCCATCTTCTAGTTCACTACTTCGTGCTTCTGGCATAATACCTTGAGTATCTGTGTTAACAGCCTGTGCTTCAGGTTCAGTGGTCTGGGCTTTCGGCACAACAGCTTGAGCTTCCAGTTCAATAGCCTGGGTATCTGGCTTAACGCTCTGGATACCTGGTAAGCCCTGGGTTTCCACTAGATCACCTTGGGCTTCTTCAGTAGCCTGGGTATCCGGCTTAACACTCTGGATACCTGTTGGCTTAATACTCTGGATACTTGTTAAGTCCTGGGTTTCCACTAGATCACCTTGGGCTTCTGGAAAATCATTCTGGGTTTGTGGGAAAACATCCTCAAGAGACTGCAGTTGTTTTAGCTTTTCTTCTTCCATCACAGCAAATAATGGGTTTTTGAACTGTACTTTCTAAAAATGAACATAAACATCAAACACAAAATGTCAGGTAGTAGTCATATTTTAGGTTTCCTGTGAGACTCCTAAAATAATCTTAAAAGGATATGGTAAGTCAAACAAATTACTTGAAAAAAATGTAAAATTATAGTCTTTACATTTTATAGAACCTAAATCTGCAACGCCAAGCCAGTACAACAGCATTAGCACTCTTAGTCCAAATCATAATTAGTTTAATTTCTATTATACTATCTTTTCACTGTTTTACCTGAACTCTGCTAGAAGGTATGCTGTCTTCAGGAAGAAGATCTTTCTGATCCCTCCAAAACAAATTCTCTCCCCCTTTCTCCTCTATCATAGCAGATGAAACTTCTTCAGAATCAGGTTCCTAAAGCATAAATAAACAATAAAACAACAAATTCATCTATTATAGGTAGAAACAATGTGGACTGCAATAAAATCCTAGGCTTTAGTAAACTGATATAATTTTAGTAGGGCAATATAGTTAAATATTAAAAAAAATAGGTAATTTATGACTGTACAAAGAACATTATGAAACAAAGAAGACATCCCATGTTCATGCATCTCAGAGGACAATATTAAGATAACAATAAACCATCACATTTACAGCAAATTGATTTGCAATAAGGATGCCAAAATAATACAATGAAACAAGAATAATCTTTTCAACAAATGGTGTTGAAATAAGTAGGTATACAATAAAACTATTCAAACGAATTCAGTTAGACCACTTCCTTACACCATATGTAAAAATTAAGACCTATAAGTAAGAGTTAAAATTACAAAATTCTTAGCACATACAGGAAGAAATCTTCATGACCTTAGATTAACCAAAGGTTTATTAGATACTATACCAAAAGCAAAAGAAAAACTGGACTACACACCACACCAAAATTTAAAACTTTGTGCTATAGATGACAGCATTAAGAAAGTAAAATGCTACCCTACAGAATGGGAGAAAAATAATATTCTTTCAACTCATAGTTAAAAACACAAATAACCCAATTTAAAAAATGGACACAAATTTCTGAATAGAAATTTTCTTCACCAGAGAGATATATAAATGAGAAATATAAACATCAAGGATATTCAAGATCATTAATCATCAAGAAAATGCAATATAGCAAGTCACCACTTCACACCCACTGTAATCAAAAAGATGGTCAATAACAAGTGTTAAGATTAAATTACTATAGAAATTAGCTTATTAGTTCCTTAAAATTTTAAACACTGAGTTACCATGTGACCCCAAAATTCTACTACTAGAGAATTGAATGTCCACACAAAAATGTGTATGCTACTACTAACAGCACAATTATTTATAAAACCCCAGAAATGGAAACAACCCAGATGTCCCCAACTAGTGCATGGATATACCAAATGTGCTATAACCATACAATGGAATACTATTCAGCAATAAAAAGGAATGAAGTGCTGATACATAAATACAGCAAAGATGAACTTTAAAAACATTATGCAACATGAAAGAAGCCAATCACAAAAGGCTTTATAAGACATGATTACATAAAGAGGAAATGACTAGAATAAGTAAATCTATAGAGACAGAAAGTAGGTTAGTGATTGCATATTATTGAGAGAGACACAAGGAGGGAGTAGGGAGTGACAGCTAATTTGGAAGTGACAAAGTTTCTTTAGGGGGTGAGGAAAATGTTCTAACTTATATTGTGGTGGCAGATGAATAATCCTGTAAATATACACAAAAACCACTGATATGTGTGCTTCAAAAAGTATGGGTAAATTGTGTGATATGGGAATTAGATGGCAGTAAGACTTAAAAAATGGACATTGTAATCTTAATTCTTAAACCTATCCTTTATTAGCTTTGAATAGTTCTAATAGCCATTATTTTTGCCTCTATTCTTTACATTTTTCTACACTATTTTCCATAAATTTCTGATTATGTACAGAAATTAAAGGGCAATTTTTCTCCCCTTCTTATATTTATCATGATGAATCTTGGTTTCCTAACTGTCTTTTGAGGGGAAAAAAAAATCAATACAAATAGTGGTCTATAAAAAGTAATATGTTCATGACACTATGCTGCATTTTTGTGAAAGACCTAGCATAATCTTAGTGGGTTATTATAGTCTAACATAGAATAAAGGAAAACAGTGAGTTCTACTTCAAAATGTAAAAACAAATTATTCAGATGTCAAACACATGTCCTGAAATAAGCTGGTAGAAAATATATTAGCTTATAAGTGATAACTTGTCCCTATTCTAGCCAGTAACAATTCAGAAGGTTTATGATTTTGCCTTAGTGACCTGATAGTGGGCAAATGTTATCTTCTATTTCTACCTCCAAATCTGGAACAAAAATAACAATTAAAAAAAAAACAATTTTACACATTCTAATGTCAATCAGAGAAAGTCTGATATCTAACAAGTCTAACAAGAAAATAAAAGCAGAGTTCAGGGGGATTACAGATTATTCTCCCCTCTGAAGCAGATTCCCACTTCATATAACCAAGAGAGTAAAAAATTATCAGACCTGAAAGAACAACTACATAGCTGATATACGTGATAAGAGAACTATCACTAACTTATCTCTCAATTATATGAAGTAGACTGATATTTTACCTGAAAAACACACATGCATACTTTCCAAGCAAGCAGTCTGAATTTATCACCATCATCATCATAATGAATTATGATAGTACCTTCAATGGTACCTTTGATGTAAATAAAACTGGTTTACACAGGGGTGTTATCTTAGATTTAATCCTCCCTGCTACTGGATAAGTATTTCAGTCAGATCTGTAAAAAGTGCTCTTTCTGGAAAAAACATCAACTGAGAAGTTTGAACACCAGCTCCATACAAAATAAAGTATTAGCCTCTGGTAACCCCTTTTTCTCTAGTGTATTGGAATGTGTTCAGTCACCTCATTCAAATGGCCCAAACTATATATAGTACCACCAAATCTATAATAGTTATAAAAACTAACAAGAAACCAAGCTGCTGACAAGAAGGTACAAAAGAAACTCTATTTTGAGTCACAGCAAGACAATACTAGAAAAAGATAACCATATTCATTACATCTAGATGGAATATCATATGGGCACTTGTTTTTTTATATTTAACTATAAGTCTCTTAATTACAACTGAAGAGGGAGACGGTAGGATTACCAACTGTAAATATGAGACAAATGTTTTTAATGGTTTATTGAGATACTTAAGGTAAAAAAGACAAAATTAAATACATACATATACATAAAATTCCAATTAGGAAGTGACTCTGGAAAAAGAACTATGTAACAGAGTTGATCATAGCAAAAAAGCCAACAAAGTAAAAAAGGCTAATGATCCATTTTATTAGATGTTCCCTATCGAAATTTGAAATTAATGGTATTTGTGAACTCTGATGATAAACAAGTATCAAAACAATATCATTTTACATGTATAGAAGTATAGCTTTAAATATCCTTTTAAGTCTCGGTCCACATTTACATTCCAATTATTCACTCTAATCTCACATTTTCAATCAGAAGAATTTTTTCTTTTAAAAAAATTAATGGTATTATTTTTCTGATTAGAAAGTAAAATGTATGCTTGATGGAAAATTTTGTAAGCAAAAACCAAGATAAGAAAATACAAAGCACGTATAATAACACTACCATAAATAATTATTACTAACCTCTCAGTCCATTTCTTTCCAAGCTTTTATCTATTGAGGGATCTTCTTCTAAGTTTTCACCACTGTAAGTCCTGTTTCTAGACCAATGACTTAGCAATTGTAGGCATTCCATAGAGTTTGTTCAATTAATTTTTTAATTGAGATTCTACTGATCATTACATATTTTAGGATGGATATATCAGAACATTTTATCCATTTCCTACTATTGCATATTTAAGATTATTTTCAGTTATTTTATAGTTATAAGTAATATTGAGAGGTGAGTAAACCTTTATCTGTATTTTTGAAAAGAATTTATTAGAAATTAATTTTTACCTCTTGAGTGGAAAAGCTTTTCCTTCTATCATCTGGAGACTCTGCATGTTTTTTACTCACAGTTTTAATGGATGCTGGCTGGTGGCGAGCTTGTTTCATGGATTGCCTAAGCTGCGAGGGAGAGGGGGATAAAAAACAGGGTAAAGTCTTAATACCAAACTCACTTACGTGTTCCAACAGGAAAACAGGTCTCCTTTATTTAAAAATTCCAGACCTAAGACAACAAGATTACTTGCAAAGGAGATTTTGATCTGTTGATAAGTGTTTTTATATTATTTTCATTATTCAAAGAGAGTGAATTTCATAACCTGTTTTAAGTGGTGTTTTGTAATACAAACTTTCTATTAAGTGTAAACACAAAAAGATCAGAATCTAAAAATTTAAACTGACATACTTGGAAATTATTCATCAGGTGCATTCCTTACCTTATATGCATCTTCTCAGTAAGAAGTTACTTCCTTGCCTGCCTAATCACTTTTAACATTCCTTTGCAAATATACTCAGTCTTTCTAAAAATGTTCGTTTACTATTTAAACTCTTTTCTTAAAGTTCCCTCCTTCTAAGACACGTTCTACAGTTAACTTAGAATGCAAACTCAAATATCACAATAGAACAATTTGTTCAAGTGAGTATTAATACTAAATTTGTTGCCTTTTTCATTTATTATATATGTTCACATATAAATGTACTCATATGTTCATTCCTTAGCATTACCTAGTAACTTCAGTAAATACCTCTTTTAATTTCTTTTCAAAGACGCAGCCTATTGTATATTTCACAAAGTTGCACATATTATGAAATCTGTACAAAAAATTTGATTTATTTTCTTCAAGTCTTTTTAATTTGTTCGTGTAAATTTTCAGACAATTAGGACTGAAAGATGGGATTATATGTAACTGCATAAATAAAACAATGTAGTAATACTATGTAGTCCATGGGAAAAGAGTACAGATCAGACCTAACTTTTATAGAATCTTATCTACTCTACTGCCATAGAGCCTAGAATCTTGAAAGTGCAATGATGCCATAAAATCTATCCAAAGTTGAATTCTATTTTATTTAAGAAGTTTATTCATAAATGATAACATATTAATTTTCAAGTGTGCTAGACTTTTCAATGGCCACAAAAATTATTACTATACAGTTAAAACTTCAACTCACATGAGCTACTTAATGCAGCCCAGGATCCCCAACACAATGCTTGAGTTGCATTAACTTTCTTTTAGGCATACCAAGCTATATTAATCTAGACCTACACAAAAAAGCAAGCTGGGCGAATAAAGATTCATTCCTTATCTTACATAATGAACTAAGAAGTATTCAGAAAAGCCAGAGAAAGGCACTGAACCTAAAAGGTTCTAGATTAAGACAGACACTAAAGGAGCCTTAAATATATGGAAGTTTCAGAGCTATGATGAAGAGGACGGCAGTTAGTAACAGAAAAATAAGTCAATAAGTGATAAGGTAGAGACATGAGACCAATTCTCCTAGTTGGCCAGAACTGTCCCAGCTTTAGCATTAAACTTCTTGTCCTGGAACCCTTCAATCTTGGGCAAATGAGTATGGCTGATCACCCTAGGAGAAATTAATCAATCAAGTTAATGATTAAATACCTATATGAAGATCAAAGATCCCATGCTGTTAGGATCATTGGAGCTACCTCAATGCAGAAAAAGTCTTCAGGGAATATCTGTGAGTTTCTAATTTTGCTTTTACATCCCACATGAAAATAAGTTTTATTTATTCTGTAAAATACATTTCACTTGCTTGGGTTAGCCTGAATTCTTGTAGTCTAAAGAGCCTAACTAATTTTTTCAATGATAGATTACAGAAAACTTAGCAGGTTATTTCATATTATTTAATCCTTTACTTAACAAAATTAACAGCTATTCCCAGGCTTGAAAAGCTGGAAATTCTGCATTATATGAAATAAAACTTAAAAGTAGGATAAGAGGCTCTCCCTGGTGGTGCAGCGGGTTAAAGCACAGCACTGAGAAGCTAAAGCCACTTCCGCATGAGTTCGATTCCCACCTGCCCCGGAGGTGACCACATGGCGTGGCAGACCTCTGCTGGCCCACCCGCTGCTCCGCTCAGCAGTGTACTTCATCCATCTGCCTGTTCTGCTTCCCACTCTGTCTCTGGAGAAGCCTCTCACCGCCCCTGAGCCTCTGGCCTGTACCCCAGTTCTATATGCACAAATAAATAAAAATCTTTAAAAAAAAAAAAAAAGTAGGATAAGAAAAAATTCAGTGAGAAACAAATCAAAAGTTGGGATATACCATACTAGAAAATAAATAGTGGAGAACTTAATAGAGAAATAAAAAGTCACTATATGGTGAAAAAGAAACAATGATTAGTTGTTCTTTAATTCCCCACCAAAATGAAGTTAACAAGAGATACTAGAGAAACTCAATCCCAGAGGTAAACATTAGTCCTAGGCTAGTTCTAGCAGAGAAGGCTCATTCTATCTATGTGACCACTTGAAATTTCTTCCAGCTTTTGTCTAGGTTCTAATTTTAGGAGTCAAATCCTGTCTAATCTTAGAGCAAGTAGGTAATCCCAAATATACTGCAAGTGGAGGATGAGCTGGGGTGCAAAATTACTTTCAGCACAGTGGCATGTTCCGTTTTGAGGGTCATATTCGAAAAGAGCATTGAAAAACCAGGACCTAATCTGAAATTCCATAATCTGGAAAACAACAAACTATGTGAAAACTGACTGAAAGAAAGTAGAAACCCAAGAAGAGGAAACTGATAGCCGCAGCCAAGTACCTGAAGCAGTCTTAAGTGTTCTGGGTATTTCATTCTCTGTTAATGGCAGTTCAAAACTAGAACCACTGGGTAAAAGTTACATGAAACTTTTGACTAAATATTTTGAAAAATAGTTCTAAGAATTTTAAACCTTCTAAAGATTAAATCAACAGTCTGAAAAAGTAATGGGTTGCCAAAAGGAGAAGTGTTCTGGCAGAAACTAGATGACCCTTGGTACACATCAGGGATATAGCAAAAAGAATTCCCTAGAAAAAGGTTAGACATTTTTTTAGAAAAGTAGTAGCTTTTCTAAATAAATTCAAACATAGAGAAATCGACAGAATACTACAATGAACCTCCACATACAATCTACCAGCTTTAACTATATCAAAATTCTGGCCAATCATGCTCTATAAGCCCCCACTTCACCTCATCCTGATGTTATTTTGAAGTGTATCCCAGATGTCAAATGACTTCACCCTCAATATTTTGATATATCAGATGAACTTCCAACTCCAACAATCTATGTTTCTATTGTTCTGAGTCAAAAAAAACCTGAAAAGTCCACTGACATCCAGAAAGAATATTATGTTCACCACTTACTCCATTAGTTCTAGATAAATCAAGAAAGTTGGTGCTCGACTAGTTTCAATGTCTAGTTCCTAGTGACATCTAGTGGATAATAATTGCAAAGAAACATTAAGATTAAAAACCTATTATCATGACATTTATGGGCAAAAGCGTGTAGGCTGAAAGTAGTTGAAATCACTGAACATTCTTCAGTAGTTTATCTTCTTTTAAGGAAAAAAAAGGGTCTAACAACTTCAAATTTTGTAACATTTAATATTTTTCATAATCTGATTTTCTCCTATCACACTCACTTTATTATTCTCCTCTATTAAACTATTAGAAAATTTCCATATCTTATTCCCAAGTATTCCAAACTCACTACATGTTCTCTACTTTTATCTGCTTCTAACTCAAAATTCTCTTGAATTTACCAATTCAGTTCAGCTTACCAATTCAAAATACATGGCTCAACTCCACCTATTCAGAAATTCTTTCCTAACTATTTCCTTGAAATTTAAAAATTTTGCACTCCCAAATACAGCAAATGTCTCTATATTAGGCTGAGGGTCTATTACCTATTGAGTCTCTACTACAAAATATAAACACATGGAGAATTCTAATTCCCACTACATTAGTATCTCTACAATGTTTAACTAACCGAATAGACTGAATAAAATCCTGATGAAGCAAAATCCTCATCACAGTGGGAATTATAGCCACAGAAGGCAAGAACTGCATGAGCCAGTCAATATTTCATCCCTTGTATTTTATATAGTGCCAGTACCTGGCTCAATATTTTCTAAATAAATCATTTATAATTTTAAAAAGGTAAACACAAATTATCATACAGTTACAATAAACCAAACAAGAAAAACCAGTTTTGGACAACGAAGTAAAATGTTTAAGCATTTCAAAGAACATGTTTCTAAAGCTTTTCCTATGAATAATAATGGCACAGTTTTGCTTCATACTTATGACCAAGCACATTGGCTTAGGCAGTATACAATTTTCATGTATTCATCACTTTCCACATTTGTCTTCGTCTAGCCCTAGAAATATATTTTTAAGTGATAAGATGAAGAATAATTCCCATAGCAGGGTGGGAGAATATGACATCAATTGGCAAAGGCTCAGGTACACTAAGAAGGAGGCTGATTGGATGATTTTAAGTGATTTGAGTGAATGAATCTACTCATGATGCTCAACTTTTTAAATATCAGAATGAATACTTAAAAAAATTATATTAAAAAAACTGGATATGCTGAGTGTTTATTATTACTTCACCCACAGATCTATTTATTAAGGTCATCAGTTTAAAGGACATAAAAAAGACAAAAAAATAATGAATGAAATGTCCCATATATGTATATATACTGAATCTCTTTGTAATATAGGTTAGGAATCACTTCTACCCATATGCTATAAAGTGATAGCAACTTATCAATAATTGCAGTGTAACCTATGTTAAAAACCTATGTTCTTTGACTTATATAAAATATAAACATCATCCCACTGTTAAAAATACCTCATGTTAAAGAAATAAAAGGGGCCTTCCCTTGTGGCACAACAGGTTAGGACGCAGTACTTCAAGCTAGCCACAGAAGCTTCAGTGCCAGTTCGAGCCCCAGACCTGGGGGTGACCTACATGGTGTGGCAGACCTCTCCTGACCTGCCGCACACTGCTCCCCTCAGCAGTGTACTTTGTTGATCTGCCTGTTTTGCTCCCTACTTTGTCTCTGACGAAGACTTTCACCACCCCTGCAACTCTGGCTTGTACTCCAGTTCTGTACACATAAATAAATAAAAACTCTTTAAAAAAAAAAAAAAAGAGGCCCTCCCTGGTGGCGCAGCAGGTTAAAGCACCACACTGAGAAGCTTAAGCAGCTTCTGCATGAGTTCGATTCCCGCCTGCCCCGGAGGAGGCCACATGGCGCGGCAGACCTCTCCTGACCCGCCCGCTGCTCCCCTCAGCAGTGTACTTCGTCGATCTGCCTGTTCTGCTCCCCACTCTGTCTCTGGTGAAGCCTCTCATCGCCCCTGAACCTCTGGCCTGTACCCCAGTTCTGTATGTACAAATAAATAAATCTTTAAAAAAAAAAAAGAAAGAAAGAAAAGGAAAATAATAATAAGTGAAGTTACCTCTTACTCTCTACTATATATCCTAGATATGTCATATTTTTAGTTTAGGGAATAAAAAAAAAATTCTTAAGACATAAAATGAACCTGTACTTACAGGCTGGGCTTGTTGTTGGAATAATTCATTCTGATTCTCTCTGTCTTCTCTTCTATCCCCACGCAGCTGGGAAGAGGGCAACCTAACATTTCCAATAGCAGCATTCAATTTTTTTGGGAAAACACTTGTTCTTTTAGAAGTTAAAAGTATTGGATCTATGGTTTTCATGACTGGTGCACTTTCTTTTTCTGTCTGCATAAAAGAAGAAAAAGTGAGATTCTGTTAGTGAGAGTCTACTCCAATCCAATGCAATCAAATAATGCCACTAAGCAGCCTAAAAGATTTTAAACTGGATCTAGGTGGGGGCAAAACAGGGAAGCATCACCTAGGGCAGGAACTAACATTTACCAGGTACTTATCATGTGGTAATAATTTATGTTACAGCTAATTTTCACCACAACCCTGAGAGACAAGTATCATATTCCCATTTTATAGATGAAAAATCTAGTCTAGAAAATTTAGAGTAATTAGCCCAAGGTCACATAAGCTAATAAATGACAAAGCCAGAATTCATATCCAAGTCCAAATCCCAAACTCTGATATTGTTTTTAACTATTTAGTGAAGGCAAAAATGTAAGACAAAAACAATACAAGAATAACACAGTTCCTCTAAATCCAAATCTATACTCACTAGTAAAGCAGATTATACAAAGCATGTAATCAAAAGAAGTGATCCTGTTACTACCTAATAACTTATAACACACTTTTCATTCAATCTTTACTCAGACTTATTTTTTAACTTACTACTTCATAAATCCTCTGAAATTGTTGCTTTTTTCTCAGTCTAACTTGTTGATTTACTCGGTATTTGACTTGTCTCTGAAAATGCTTCAAAGCTTCTTGTTTTTTCCTTAGCTGTTCCTTTAGTTCTTCTTCAATCTTACATGCTAAAGTCTTTAAAGATGAAAGAAAGTAAATTTAAATGTCAGCAGCTCTCCCCACAAGGGCTGTTATTAATACAAAGCAGTCAGCACGCAATTCCAAAAAAAAAAAAAACTCAGTTCAGTAATCTAAGAGATAAATAAATTATAAAATAATACAATATCCATATATGCTGATAAAAGTACACAGTCTTTTGATGCTAATTTAACTAATGTGGAGGTTCTGAAGCTATGGCACTTCTATGCTAAGTGAATAAGTTTCAAGGAGAAAGACAAATACTGTATGATATCACTTGTGTGTGGAACCTAACAAGCACACATACATACACACATATACACACACACAGAGACTGAACTCATAGAGAACAGATTGGTGGTTACCATAGATAGGTGGTGGGGGGAGGCAAAATGGATGAAAGGGGTCAAAAGGTGCAAACTCCCAGTTATAAAATAAGCAAGTCATGGGGTGCAATGGACAGCTTGGTGGCTATAATAAATAATATTGTGTTATGTTTGAAAGTCGCAAAGAAGGTAAATCTTAAAAGTCCCTGTCATAAGAAAAAACTGTTATGTATGGTGATAGATATTAAAGGATTATTGTAGTAACCATTTCACAATTTGTACAAATATCAAATCACTAAATTATACGCTTGAATAAAATGTTATATGTCAGTTATCTCTTTTTTTTTATAACAGTTTATTTTTACATCATTTTGTACATTTTTTTTTCAGTTATCTCTCTTTTAAAAAGATTTCAGAGAGGGACAGAAAAAAAGTGGGAAGGAAGCATAATGGAGTATGGTGGGGGGCTATGGGTAGTTTGGTGGTGGGTGCTGTGTGCTGCAAGAGGAGATCCTATACTTCTACAACACAAACGTTACAAACCAATGTTACCCCAACCATATAAAAATAATAAAAATCTTTAAAAATATTCTATGAACAGGGCCACCAAAGATGGACATTCTTAGTGACTCCCTGTCTCAAGTTTCCTGCCAGAAGCTTCTTGCTAACCCTCCGCTCTTCCTTTCCCTATATGAGAGAGAAAATAATTCAAGTTTAAGTCCTCATTTGACAAATAATGCCACTTAATTAAGCTCCCAAGGAGTAAGAGGTCCCAGAGCTTGGGGATGAGAGGAGGTGGAGAGGAATGGGAGACTTGGAAAAGCATATAATCCCAGACTTCTTCTAATCCCCAGACACTCAGTCTTGCCGGGAAAGCTTAGTAAGGTGCATTTTTAACAATCTTGCCCAACCAAGTACTTGTAACAAAACAAGAAAACAGCCAGGCCTGGCCCAAGGGCCGGGGGGAGAGGGAAAGCAGCAGTGAGGGGGAGAAGGGAGGAAGAGGTGTCAATAACTTAAAACCAAAGTATCTCTATACTAAATCTGCTGAGATATTTTCTTGCACTTATCCCTTTTCATCCCCACTTCAACCACCCCTTTTCAGACTCTCCTTCTCCACTTCTTACTACTAAACAAGTCCTGATGCTACACTTTATTACTAAATCGGTATGATTATATCCTTATTTGTCCCCGACTAGCCAATCTCTCCCTACACTTCAAAAACCCAGAAGCAATCAATCTAATCAAAACACTGCTTGGTCATGAAATTCTCCTGTAAATGTTAAATAATGAATGAAGTTAATCCTCTTCAAATTTTCCTGTAGTTCCCTCCACCTCTATTTTTCCACAATCCTGTCAACCACTCTAAACTTTTCAGTAAAACTTCCACCCAATCAATGAAATCCAACCCACCCTTAGGATCCTGAACATACCTTGCTTACATCCGACTCTCTCCAATCTCCTTAATTAGAGAATCATCCCCTTCTCTTCACTGATTATCCAAATGCTTCATTAAACATTCCTTAGTCACATCAACCCAAGGCTGTCCCATTCCTCTTTGTATCATAGTCTCAGCATTTAAACATATACTACCCAGTGTGTTAAAACCCTTCCTAAAAATAAGTAAAGTAGGCAATGAATGAATATATACGTACATGCAGAGATAAGGAATATGAATGAATATATGACACTGCATTATTATTTGACATTTATTTTAAACATGTGTCATTTGCTCCCTAAGGTCAAAGATCACCAAGAGAATCTCACATTTCACCTTACATACAGCACCCTGTCCATGCATACAAGAAGACCTTCACACATTTTGTGTATTTCACATTAACTGAATGCCTATTATTTATTAGGCGCTATGACAAAAGTGGGGAGGTGAAGAAAAGCAGAAATGCAGACAATTTACTATAAATATAATGTGGTAAGTGTTGCAATGAAATGTGAACATGACTAAGGGGCACAGTTTGATAAAATATCAACCATCTTACAAAATTGGTCCCATTAGTTAATTACTAGGTATAAGAGCCACCATGTACATAGGCACACGTTGTTGTAAATTTCCCTTCATTTGCAGTGGTACTCTCTACCACCTGTATCCAATCTTTCTGTTCTTTAATGATTAACACAGACTATATTTCCTCATTCATTCACTCAAGAACTCTTTCCTAAGACCTACTGTATGCCAGGACAGGAATGAATAAAACATAAAGGTTCCAAGCCTTCCTTGTGGTGCCGGGGTTGTCTCAGCACTATGAAGCTATCGGCAGCCACTGCAGCAGGAGTTTGACCACTGGCCATGACCCACTGTGGTGCAACAGACCTCTCCAGGCTGCCTGCTGCTCCCCCCAGCAGTGTATTTCAGTAGATCCACCTGTTCTGCTCCCCACTCTTTCTCTGGTGAATCCTCTCACTCTCCCACACCTCTGGCCTACACCGCAGCTCTTGCATGCATAAATAAATAAATCTTAAGCAAACAAACATAAAGGTCCCTGTTCTCATGGAATTTATAGTGTAACTTTCTGAAAACTCCAATCAGAATGAATCTCTTCATTTTTTTTATTGTATCTGAATCTTAATAAATCTCCACTACAAACCTTATCACACATTCTAAACTATCTCTTAATGTTACGTTAAGTGTAGCCAATAGACATCCCTATTTTGTAGGGTCTAAATGCACATACAATGCCCAGGTCATGTACATGGCAGCCATCAAGAATTTCTGAAGTAATCAGAAATGTATATCCGTGTGTGTGTAGTAACTATTCGATGAAACTAGATAAAGAAGGCTGCAAGTTATGGAAAATACTTATTTGCTCTAATGCCTGAATACAAAATATAACAGAGTACAAACAGCATTTCCAGACTGTTCTCTTCGAAGCACAGGGATTAAAACCTAGTCAAAAAAAAAAAAAGGTGGGGGCAAGAAATCGACCACATTTGGATTAAACTGACTCACATATGCTGGGATTTCCGAACTATGTGGAGAGGCAGGTTCCACCCATGCCCCAACTGGTACTACAGCCTGATTCCTTTCAGCCAGCACTGCCAACACGTCTTTGCTCTTCAAGGGGTTTAAAGCCAGGGGCAACCTTGTATTTCGAGGCTTCCTGAGAGGGGCCATACTTCCTGGCATCTGTGACTCCTGCTTAGAAGAAAGGAAAAACTCAAAATTTTCAAACGACCGCATTCAAAGCTCAGTTTCCTAACATATGAGCCATCCTCTGAAAAGGTGATGCCTTGGAGAAGGCAAAAGCCTGACAGGGAGTCCAAGGAACAAGGGTTTTGGGAAAAGAGGAAAGAAGAGAAGAGGGAAGTATTACCAAGGGAAGGAAAGGTGACATGGAATAAAGAAGGATGAGAGAGGAAAGAGAGAAAAGGATCTGATTGAAAACGAAGATTGTGCCCAGTGCTGGCACAACACAGGAAAGGGAGGAATGACCCGAGCAGCCAGAGGGAAAAGGGCCTGGAGGTAGGAACCTGGGTCTGAGGCAGAGTCCAAAGAATCGGCATCCGAATATGGGCTAAATGATGGGGTGTCCTGGCCCAGCTAAAAGCTTGTTTCCCAGGTACTGGGGTCCCGCTCCAGCTGAGGTATCACCCGCGGGGTAAAGAATAGCAGCTCGCCAGGGATTCAAGCTCGGGAAACCCAGGTAACCGCCCCCAATAAACCGCCACTTTGGGGAGGGCAGCCCTACCCCGCCAAGCTCCGCCTCCTGCGCGTCCCCCACCTGCCCACCGCTGGTCTTCTGTCCGCCCTTTCCGCTTTTTTTGCATCACTGCCGGGGACAGGGGATTTGCGAGGGGCGGGGCTTCGGGACCGGTGCCTCGTCACTTCCGCTTCCTGCCTGGAGATGGGTGGCCGCTGGTGCCCGCAACGGGGAGGGGCGCACACCGAGTGGTCCTGGGGCTTTTGAATTGGGCGGGCGGGCTGCGCCGCAGTATTCCCGCCGCTGGAGAGCTTCCCAGATCCGTTAGGAAGTGGGACCCTTTCCGCTGGAGAACTGACATATTAGGCGCGCAATTGAGAGCAACATAAGGGAAAGGATGGTAGAAGGAGGACTTGACCGGGCTTCTTCGAGGAGCAAACTTAGTTATAGCCCGCTGAGGTAGACGTAAGAGAGGGGGGTGGAGCCGGAGACGGAGGAGATTGCTGACAACTCTTTCAATGGGTTCTGTTTTAAAGGGACACAGAAATGGGTAGTTGAAAGGAGAGACTCATAGGAGGGTGCTTTAAGGTCATCGCCCATGATTTTTGTCGATGGGGATTACCCAGTAGACAGGAAGGAAGCGGGCTGTTTAGGAGAGAGGCAGGATTTTTGCCATAGTTCACCATGATAATAGCAGAAAAGGTAGACGCCTGGTGACTGAGTAATACAGTGGCGGGGGCTAGTGGAAGTTCTCTTCTGATTGCTGTTTTCTTTGTATAATAGCATAATTAGCCTATGAGATAACGTCTAATAGTCCCTACCTCCTGGTTCTCACACTGTACCGGGGATTAGTCTGTGTCATCAATAGAATATAGCAGAAGTAAGGTTATAAAAGATGGTTGTCCTTGTTCTCAGAATACTTGCTCTGGGAGAAATGATAGCAACCCTATAAAAAGGTCCACATAGCCTGGAAATGAGTCCTGCCAGGTGCCCTGTGAATGCAACTGAAGGTGGATCTTCCTGCCCCAATCAAATCTCCTGAGACTAGTCTCAGCAACAACTTGACTGCTGCCTCCTAAGAGACCCTAAACCAGACCACCCAGCCAGTCAGATGTTGTGTGAGATTATGTTTGTTGTTTTAAGATGCTAATTTATGGTGTAAGCAAGATTACTAAAATAAGAAAGTCACTACTAAAATAAGAAAGTCACCAATAAAATAGAGGAACAGATGTTGGAGGTTAACAAAGGAAAATAAAGTATAAAAAGTGAGAGGGCACAAGGAGGTTGATTTTTGTACATATGGGCATGCACACCCAGCATCGAAGAGTGTTGTTAAATAGCTTTACTCTCTCTAGCCCCTACCTCAAGGTCTGTGCTTTCCACTACAGCCAGACCAGTGTTTTCATATGAATCTTTATGTCCAGAGAGTTCACCCTTCTACATTCTGACCTTTCACAAGGCTCATCTTCTATATGGCCAGAGTTAGTTTTTCAACAAGAGAATTGTTTACTCAGAAATGTCAGTCTTCAGAAGCTGAAGACTGGGTGGTGCTGGTGTCAGTCTTGAGGTCCTACAATCCCTCCCCTTAGAAATGGATAATTCCTTTTATGTGCCTGGGGGATCCCCAGCCTTCTCTGCACAAAGCCCTGAGTCACTGGCCCTTGGCAGCTGTCCACTTGGCACAGAACTGGTTGTTACATGAAAAACAAGGGGTCACTTTCTGTTCGGTCACCACTGTCTTATTTGTGGCTGACAGACCCACACCTGTTACAAGTTAGAAAGTTTGATCAACTGTTGGTCCTAAGGAACTGTTTCAGAGTCTGCTTCCTGGAGAACTCAACTATGACAGCCTCTGAGTGTTAAGCCTCAGAAACAAGGCACACACAGCTTTCAGATCCGCTGAGTGTTGAAATCCAGATTCCTTACTCCTTTCACTCAGAGACTCACAGCACAAATCCATCTATCTTCCTGGTGGAGACACAAGTACTCTCTTGCTTTGTTTTTTGTGAGTTCACTGCCTGCTTTAACTTCCTCAAACTTGTCTGAGAACCCTACTATTTTGTTTATCAACTCTTTACTTTTGGGCCCAATGGAAGGCAGCCCCGTTCAGCACTGTACTATATGAACACTAAACTAAAGCACAGGCTAACTCTGGGTCACTCTGACTACAAAATGTAAGGTTTTGAACAGGTTATTTAACTCTCTGAGTTTCATGTTCCTCCTTGAAAAAAATTCTTACCACACAGAGTTGGTGAAAGGGTCAGTAAAATATCTTAAAAGATCATTTGTATGGGTCAATGCAAATGTATTATCAGTTGTACCTATTCATAGATTTTGACAGCTTTCCCAACTATATTGAAGCACCTACAAGGGGAATGTGTCATATTCTATGACTAGAATGTGCTACCCTTCCCCCTTTCCCACATCCCACTCCTCAAGTTAATGTCTGGAACATGGAGTAGTTTTCACACAGTAGGCGATTATTAGATGCTGACTAGCTAATTTCCATTTCTGTGCCTCCCGCTTTGAGAGAAGGGTCAGAGAGGGAGGGGGAGTGAATCCTTCCCCAGGACATGGTTGGTGGGAGGCCACCATCTGAGGACCTCAGAGAAGAGAAACAATGGGCCCTTTCATGAGTTGGGGGTAATTTGTGGCCTCCCCATGATTGTTCAACCTGTTTTGATGTGAGCACGGAAGCTTTACAAGAACAGAACTCCAGAGATGTTCTCTAGAATGTCCTCGATACATCCTAAATAGGTCAGCAAATGCTGGTTCTGTCCAGCACTTTGGAGCCAATTAATTTCTCCTCTTTGTTCTTCTAGAGAATTGCTGAATAGGGCACGTTCAGCAACCATGGACACGAGCCTGAAGTTCCTCTCAGTTTCTGAGGGGGCGGGAATTCTATTCAGAAATCAAATATTTACTCTCAGCATAAAAGGCTTTGGTGTGTTTTCGTTTTCCAGTAAGAAAATGGGAGCCCCTATTACAAAAATTTACATAGGACCCCATGACACCCCAGGAGCACGTATTTCTCCCAGCTGACCCCATCACACCTTTTGGAGACACCTTATTTCTACAGAATGCTGTTCCTCTGCACTCTGACTCCTCACAGGACAAAAATATGCTGGCAGCAAAATCATACAGGATGAAGGTCTTGGGAAGGGCACAAGGGCCCTTTGACCCGGATCTCCACTTTCTATGTGAGGTTTCTCAGATGGGAGCCAGAGTAGGGCTACCTAGGAGAACTTTCAAAAAGAAAAGGGAAGAAAAAAAATGCTGTTGTGGAAGGCTACCCCTCACTGTGTAAACCCACAGAAAGCTTGTTTTGTTCCAAAAAGAGTTAGCTAATCTATCTCTTGTTCAATGGTTGCTGAAGTAGCCGGGCCCTGCCTCCTCCCCACACAAAGCCTCATACAAATTCCTTGTTTCCCAGGCAATACTCTGTAGCTCTACAAGTTTTCTGGCTGGTGCTAGCCTCCTCTGCCCTCTCTCTCCACTCCGGCGAATTGAACTGATGGTAGGGACCGCTCTGACACCATTCACACTTAGGTTTATGGGACAAAAAATTAAACTTCAGCAACAATGAGAGGACACAGACTGGGCAGAGAGGGACACCTTATATCCTGAAGCTTCAAGAGTAGGTGCTGGGGCTGAAAGATTAAGTGAGGACGGAGACTCAGCACAGGAGGTAGATCTCCCACTGATCATGACAGGGTGGAGCTCCTTGGCTTTATTTTGGTTAGACTTAGTTTCTAAAACAAGTGCTGCCACTTTGTAGCTATATGACCTTAGCAAGCTACCACTCCCTTGAAATTTTAGGTTTTCTTTTTGGTAAGCTGGGATAATAGCCTCTATCGAAAAGAGGTATTGGGAGAATTAAATGAATAACTAGATATGATGTGCCCTCTTCAACGATTCAACACATGGGATGCCTCCATGTGAAGGTCAGGCTAGAAATCTGGGGAATTCACTTCTCTGTATCCCTAAGGGGCAACCCTCAGCCCATATCTGATAGAATTAATTTCTAGATGCCCTTGGTAGAAATTTGCTTCATGTATAATTCATTGTCTTCCTTCCCTTCCATATCTCATCGCCCTAGCATCTGCCTCTGGGAAAAGCCAAACTATAATAAGATGCCAGTATTTCTCCAAATTTCTAAGACCTAGATTCTCAGGATTGTCTCTGACTCCAAATCCTTGTGCCAGTTGAATTAGTGCATTTAAACATCATATGTGACTTTATCTTGCATACCCTGTTGAATCAGACCTGGAACTCAGTCTAGATCTTTGACTCAGTATAATATTCTCTCTCTCTTTTTCTTTCTCTCTCTCTCTTTCTCTCTCGCACACACACACACACCCACACACACAGTGTCATATTTTATGCTGCATAACAACTTCTAGCAACTGAAAACAACTGATCGTAGTTCCGTGGTCTGAAGAGCAGGCACAACCTGCTGCATCCTCTGCTGGCCGGCCCACCAGAACTCAGTTAAGGTGTTGGCTGGTTGGCATTCCTTTCTGAAGCTCAGACTCCTCTTCCAAGTTCATATGGTTGATGAAAGAATTTGATTCTTGGGTTGTAGGACTGAGGTCCCTATGTTCTTGCCAGCTCCTAGCCCGGCATTGCTCTCAACAACTAGAGCTCACCACAGTTCCATGCCCAGTGATCCTTTCATGACACAGCAGGTCACATCTCCAAAGCTAGCACAGCATATCTCGTCTGCCAGGTCTGAGTCCTATCTAACATCACCTAACCAAGGGTGTGGTGTTCTGTGAGCCACTCTGCCATGTTCTAGGAGCCAGAAGCATGCATGCATATTGCATTTGTGTGTAGCAAACTTTTGAAAGTTTTGTGGAAGACAGGAAGAAGGGTTATACAGTGAAATGATATTCTTACATTCAGCTTCTGGAACATTCTCTCTCTCCTCATCCTGTCTTTAATTTTCTCCTCTCTGCTCTTTCCTGTCCCTAGTTTTCTATTTCTTTAGAATGTATAGCAACTTGTCTTTTGGTTCTTTGACCCTTTATGTTTAATGTTTTACCTTCTACACCACCGGGCAAATCTAGACTTTTTTTTCTTGCTATTGACAATCCCCTCTATAATAGGAATGTGGAGCCAGTTGTTCAAACATTTTATTTCCATTCTTTCCCATTGAGTGGAGGATATAACTCTATAACAAGAAGTGGATGGAGGGAAAGAGGGGGAGAATGCTAAATGTGAACAATCATTTCTGAAGTTAAGATATTAGTGAGGGCAGACTCTCTCTACTGATATTAAACATTCTTCAGTACTTAAACATTCTTTCTGGTGCTTAGAAACAAAAGAATAGACTGAGTGAGTGGAAACATTCTCAAATCTGGTGATAGCATTATTAAAGTTGGTTCTTATTTATATGTCATTGTGTGTATGTTACTACCTCTTACCTACACTATTAAATAACTTTTGGAGTCCCAGGTCTATTGTTAGATTGCAGTGTAACGCTGAGCAAATTACTCTACCTCTCTCAGTTCCCTCTGCTGACAAGTGAAAAAGTAAAGTAAGACAATTTCAAATGCCTCTTAATGTGAGGTGAGTCTCTTCTCTGTGACTGTCCTGCCACTCCTACTAGGCCTTTAGTTCTTTGAAGATAGAGATCATTTTTACAATCCCCTCAGCCTCTGCCAGCTTTTTTTGCTGCCCCAATTCCACAGAGGTCAGTAGGGTGATGACTCAGTTAAAAATCACTAACTGCTCCCTGTTCTATGATGATGGGATTCTTCTGAGTTTAACCTGGCAGGTGTGTGTGCGTGTGTTGCGGTGGGGATTCCAATATGAGCTTCATGGGCACTATCTGGGGGCTCAAAGAGGAGTTCTGAGTGTAACAGGCCAGTGCCAAGGTGGGTACCGACATGAGAAGTCCCCAAAGCCCCAGAGGGAAGAGCAAATGAACAAATGAATGGCCTGAAGCAACTGTGCACGGTCCAAGGACCAATAAGACTGGTCCAGCTGCTAAGAAGGGGACAATGGCCTTGGAACTGAATTTGTGGAAGTTCTCAGAGGAAGAAGCGTCATAGGTCTCGGCCACCCACTGGCATTAGTGCTGTCAGTCAGACAGTTAGCCGCTACACCATTATGTGAGCAGAGTTCAGCATCGGGGCTGGGAGCAGACCCCTAAACATCAAGTTACACTCCCTGTCCCAGGGAGTCTCCAGGCTAATAAAAAGATAGCCCTAGTAACCATTTTCTGACCCAGGATTCTTTTTTTTTAAATATTTATTTATTATTTATTTATTTATAACAGTTTATTTTTACATCATTTTGTACATTTTGTTATCTCAATTGTAATCCCCGTGGGTTTCCCATCACCTAGTCACCCGTGTGCCATCACCATAGTCCCGTGCACTTCCCTCCCCCACCCCCGTTTTTGATCCCATTCCCCACTCCACCCCCAAAACTGTCTCTCTGACCCAGAAGTCTTATTTGCAGACTGCCAAGTATAAATCTACTTTTGAAGTGAAAGGAGTACATCATTTATCATCGGGATGTCCGTAAAACTAAAAACTCTGAAAGCCTACATTATGAGGGGCCTCCCTGGTGGCCCAGGGGTAAAGTCTCAACATTATTAACCAGCCACTGTGATCTGAGTTCCATCCCCAGCCAGGGAGCTGGCCCATGTGGCACGGCAGACCTCTCCTGTCTCTGCGCCCCTCAGCAGTGTGTTGCAGTAGATCTGCCTGTTCTGCTCCCCACTCTGGTGAATCCTCTCGCCCCCACACACCCCATATCTGCACCTCGGACTTACTCCCTAGTTCTTCTATGCATAAGAAAATAAATATGCTTTTTTGAAAATCTTTTTTAAAAGTATATTATACACCAGCAGACACACCTATAGAGATAAACCTGAGAAATGCGTGCAAGGATCAAACTATTGATAGCTAAGTTAAGTTAGCTCAGAAAAGTGTTAGGTGTTACAAGTGAGAACAAGGTGACTTGACCTTACATTTCTGTAACCTAGTTGCTATGTTGGGGCTGTAACTTTCTCAAAGTGAATCCCATTTACCTCTGGGAACTCGTCTGTGTTCATAAACTAGTCTGTCATCTGCAGTCTTACAGGACACCCTCCCTGTTCTCACCTCTCCCCCCCAGTACCCACCCCCCGCCCCCTGTGTGTCCTGTCCTATATTAGCAGGAGGGCTACGGAGCTCTCTTTTTACTGTGAAAGAAAGACACACTAGCAGAGGATACAAGCATCTCTATAGCTACTGTGCTTAACAGCCCTGAGGCAAGACCACAAAAGTGTTCAGTCTACACTCAGACAACCTGCCAGAGTGGCTGTGGACCCTTGATGTCCTTCTGTCTGCTTTTTCTCCACAGGTACCACCTACCCCTCAAGACAGCAGAGGGAAACTACAAGTTAATCTATTTTGGTAACTCAGTCTGAACCAACCATTTTTACATTATTTTGCAGTAGTTTAGTCTTTACTTGGACGACTAAGACAATTGCTCCATCAGTCCCCTCAAGTAAATTTGTGGGCACTTGGGGAACTTCCATATAGGTATATAAGAGCTTAAGGTTTACCCCCAGCAGGGTTTGGGGATGTTGAGAAATGTTAGATCTCTCCTAGGATTCCTACATCAGATTTTCATTCCACAGTCTTCAGGTTGCAAAAGGCAGACTTTAGACTTTCTATTTCCTGAACATCATGTCCACGTTTTACCCCAGGACAATAAGCCACAGGTCTAGGATCTTGGGCAAAAGAGGCTGTTTGTCTACACTGTGGAAGAACCCTATGAACTGGTCCAAAGGTGGAGCTTTAATGAGTTAGAGGGGTAGATAAAAGAGATTAAAATAGCCTTTGGCTATCAGAGGCTGACTTTCAACTTTTTAATTTTTTTAAGGTTTGTTTATTTATGCATTCATTCAGTAACTGGGGTACAGGCCAGAGGTGTAGGGGTAAGAAGATTAATCAGAGACAGAACAGGCAGACTCACTGAAACACACTGCTGAAAGGAGCAGCAGCCGAGACAAGAGAGGTCTAATGCACTATGTGGGTTAGCAACCTGGCCAGGGATCAAACTTGTGTGTTGCAGTTGCTGTGGACAGCCGCATCATGCTTAAACCTAACCCCCTACACCACCAGGGAGGCTGCTCAAGACTTTCATCTTGCTACTAACTCTAAAATACTATTTTAGATGTCAGAAGCTGAATATTAACTTTATCTTTTCCAATGTATACCTCCCACAACCACATAATGTCTTCCAGAGGCAATCAGGTGCCTTGGAATGTCTAGGGAGAAGTTATAGCCACAGAGATACAAATGGGGGGCTCACTGACCTGGTCTACTTAGGCTTTCTGCAATATGTAAAAAGATTCATTTGAGATTCTACAGCTGCATTTACGAAGTTAGAGATTACCAAGAGGAAAATTGTAAACTCTGGTGTCACCAAGATACAAAGATTCCTATGGGAATGGAAATAAGAAGCAATTTAAAAAATTAAAGACAAGTACATATGTGGTGTGTATGCACAATGGAATACTATACAGCAATAAAAAGTGTAAACTCATGTCATTTGTAGCAACCTGGATGGAGCTGGTAGGGAATATACTAAGTGAAATAAGCCAAAAGAGAAAGATAAATACCAAGTTGTGTTACTTATATATGGAACATGGAGAAACCAAACAAAGGGTTATACAAAGTCTAAAACTAATCCTTGAAAACTGACTACTAATCTTAGGCTTTCAGTGGAGTGAGTGGGAGAGGGGTGAAAATGGGAGAATGGGGTGAGAGTATAATGGCCAATGGTAGAGGGCTATGGGTGTTTTGGTGGAAGAAGGGCTATGGTGACTATACCTGGGCAGAAGGAACCCCAACTGTGAGAACAGTAGCAAGGACATAAAATAATGGTACTTTAACAACAATACAAATAAATAAATAAGAAATTAGAAAATTAAATTAAATTAAATTTTTAAAATTTCAAACATATCTTTGTAACAGAAAATATCCTAGGTACTGTGCTGTACTAAGCCTTCATCAGTCCTCCCACTAATTCCTAATGTTGCCCCCATTTCATAGATGTGAAATCAAGAGACTCACAGTGCTTATGAGTCTGTCCCAACAGCACAATGTTAATAAGCAGACGTTTCCCTGATGACCTTTGTGAGGAAATGTGGACACATTAATCAGGGGTCAGGGTAGAGTTAGGGTTTTTCCTCCTCATCAAGGCCTTGAGACAAGAGCAGATGGAGAGTCTGTGAAATTGGTAACAGAACCCAAGAATGCTGGAAGTTAAGAAATTACCTTCATCTTTGCTCTGACATGTTCTAGAAAATTGGCTGGAGGCAGGGGAATGAACACAGTGGCTTCTGGAAAGAAGTCCCCAGCATCTATGTGATTCTATTTAAGAAGAGAGAATCCCAAGCAGGACCAGAACAGGTGTAACAAGAATAGAATTCAAGCCATTTTCCAATCTTCCTCCTTTGGGGTAGAACAAGGGCTTTTCAGTTCTTCAGCAGTTCTCTGGAGCCTCCCATTTCCCAGCTTTTTAAAAGCTCCTCTCCCTCCCTTTTCAGAGCTCATTGGAGATCTGTGCCTGGCACACACCCTCCTCCGCAGGAACAAGGAGGGAGAGGTGGAAACAGCAGGGGTTGGGACCAAGGTCCTGTGTAGTGTGCATCCCAGCCCAACCCCCTCAATGAGCCCAAATCATCACCTCCCCTGGTAGTGGGGTTCAGCACAGACAGCCGAAGAACTGCTGGACCTCTGGGACCCCACTGGATTGGAACCTGCATTGGAGAATATCTCCTGAGTGGATACCCTCTTCTGAACTAGGGATGTAGGACTTCGAAACTAGAAAATGCCAGGTCTCAAAGAGAGGGAAGAACAAGTCGAACAACACACAGAGCTCTGTGTATTCAGAGGGAAGTTGGCAGGGCTGTGTTCGGGCAGAGAAACTCCGAGTGGTACAAAGGGACGTGCCCAGAGTGGAGAAATCATGCTAATTGTCTGCACCAGAGCTGGAGAACGCCACCCAAAATGAAGAGAGAGAGGGGAGCCCTGTCCAGAGCCTTCAGTGCCTTGCACCTCGCTCCTTTTGTCTACCTTCTTCTGATCCAGACAGGTAGGAGACCAGAAGGGGAGGAAAGGGTCTACAGAAGGGACCTGGGGCTTTCAAAGGAGAGGGAGGGGAGAGCTGATGGCCAGAATGCCGCTGAGGTGGGAGGAGGGGAGGCTCAGCTGCCGTGGGAAGATCTCAGTGAATTCAGGCATTAGTAGTGTTGAATGTATTTCTTCATTCTGTGTGCCTCCCGCCTGGCCCCTTGGCCCCCCCACCCCCACCCCAAAAGGCTGCATGACTTTGGAGCTCCCACAGCATTGAGTACATTCGATGGAGGGCAAGGAGCCATTTCTTATGGGATGTCTAGTTGGCGTGGGCCTGTCCAGCATTCTTTCCAAGGGATGGTGGTGGGGCTTGGCAGGGTGGGAGAAATCTTGCTTTCGTGCCTCCCCAGCCCCCCACTTTGGCTTCTCTGTAAAATAGCAAGGGCGATGAAAGAAGCTTTTGAGATAATGAGACTCCTGATTTTGATGAGTAACACCAACCTTTCCATAACTCGCCCCACGCCAGACACCTACTTCTTGTACTACTGCCCCCTACCAACTCCTTGGAGAATTGATCTTATTTTTAAATACTCTTATGTGCTTGCATCCCATCCCCCCACACACACTCACACACACACACACAATTCCAAAGAGCCTAATGATTCACAATTTAGTGGGGCAGACACAGAGATCAAGGCGAACAGTGTAATGAGCCAGAGATGCTGGGATCATAAAGAGGTCGCCTACCCCATCCAGGAAGCTGGTGTTGGTTGTGCAGGGTGGGGGTCCAGGGATAACAGAGGAGGTTTCCTGGGAATGTCTGCACTAAATTCTAAAAGATGGGAGAAATAGGTAGATGTGGGAGTAGGCATTATATTTGGGTAAATGGGTGAAGACTAACAGCTTGAAATAGCCTCGTGTGTTTAGAGGTTCCAGCGGATCACCTTTGCTGGGAAAGAAATTGTAAATTAAGTTAGGCCAATTGAGTTCATAACTTGATATAGCAGGGACTAGCAAGTAAGAGCTAACTATTCATGTTGGACAGGGCAGTCTCAATGGAAACTAAGAATGCTGCGAGTAAGGAGACCATGAACTGTGAATATTATGCGCACAATGAAATATTCAGACATAAGTTCTTTCAGGTCATCAAATGTGAAGAAAAAAATGATAGGAAGAGCTTGTCAGTCCAATTGAATAGACAAAACCAAAGGTGACAAAGAATAGTCTGTGTGAGAAAAATGTAGCAATTCATATGGCAAGAAAAAAATTCTAATTATTGTTAAGATATTAACAATAATAAGGGGTGGTGGACTAGGGGTTAAGTCTCAGTGCTACCACCACACAAAGACTTGAGCTGGATCCCCAGCCAGGGTAAGGCAGACCTCTCCAGGCTCCCCCGCTGCTCCCCTCAGCAGTGTATTTCAGTCAATCTGCCTGTTCTGCTCCCCACTCTGTCTCTGGTGAATACTCCTGTGCCTCTGGCTATAACCTGGTTCTTCTGTGCAAAATAATAATAATAAGAAGAAGAAGAAGAATGATGAATAACCTGTGACAGGAAAGACATCAGTTAAGGGTCAGGCAATTATATTTCTGTGGGTTCAAGACCCAAAAAGAGCTGAGAGTCTATAAGGACTTTCTGCCATCCTCAATATATTAGTTTGGAAATGACAATTTCTGTGATAAATAAACCCCCAAACCTATTATCATGTGATCATACAGTGCAGTTCCAGATGAGGCTGGCGATGAAGGAGTCTGTCCCATGAAGTTTTTCAGGACCAAGCTGATGGAACTCTGTCACCCTTAACAAATGCTTCTAGTGGTCACCCTGAGGCTTAGCGCTATTTCTTCACATAAAAAATTTAAAGGAAAAAAAAAGGCTGAAGGGAGGTTTATCTAGAACAAGCGCTTCTGAGTGGTACCTCTCACACCACTGGTTCTACTGGCTAAAACTCAGTATAAGGCCACATCTTGGTGCAAGGGAGGCTGGAAAGTATAGTTTTAAAGACTGGTATGAATAGAGGACCTGAAAACCAAGATTTACTTGAATCCCTTGTGTTTATGGCATCAACCATTGAGCTATCTTTGGGCAACCAACAAACTCAGTCTTTAATGGCCTGTTCCTAATATAGACAAATAAATGAGACATTCTGAAATTCATCACAGCCCAACTCATAGAAGATTCAAGCAGAGCTTTTCTAGAAGTTTGGATGTTAATTTACAGATATAAACTCAGTGTGCTGTAAATCTAGATAATCTGGCTTGCAAGACTTTATTCTCTGGAATCCTAGAATTGTTCTATCCTCCCAGTCCCAACAGGAAGAAAGCCCTTCCCTGAGTTCTAGCCTTTTAGCACTAAGATTTCCTTCACATAGCACTGCTGACTTTTTTTTTTTTTTAAGATTTACTTAAACAAGAACTGGGATACAGGCCAGAGTTGTGAGGGGTGAGAGGCTTCACCAGAAGAGAGTAGGAAGCAGAACAGGCAGATCTATTGAAACACACTGCTGAGGGGAGCAGCGGGAGAGACAGGAGAGGTCTGTCACACCATGTGGCTCACTTCCCTCGCTGGGAATCAAACTCACGCTGCAGTGGCTCCACCTTGCTTCACAGTCCTGTGCTTAACCCATTGCATCACCAGGGAGGGCCCATGTGCTGACTTTTTAAACTGTAACTGAAGTTTTTGTATAGGAAAATGCCGTTAGTATAAGGACTCAGTTTGATGAATCTTTAAAATGGGAGCAAGACCTAATCATCGTCCCTCAAGACGAAGAAATAGAACATCTCATCACCCAAAAGTTCCCCCTTACTAATTCAGTTACTATTGCTACTCCCCAAGGGATACCACTAATTTCTAACATAGATTAATGCTGCATGTCTTTGAACTTTATATAAATGTAATCATACATATGCATCCTTTTGTATATGACTTCTTTCACTGATGCCAAGTTTGTTAGATTCATGCATGTTGTTGAAACTCTAATTTTATCTGGTCTCATTGCTGGATAGTATTCCATTTACCGATATAACAGTTTACTTATCTATTCAATTTTGGTGGACATTGGTTACTTCCAGTTTGGGGCTTTATGGATAGAATTGTCAAACATTCTGGTACATATCTATTGGTGGAACATACTCATTCCCTTTAGGCATATATTTAAGAGACTTGTCGTGTTATATGTGTATGGTTAGCTTCAGTAGATCTGTATAAACAGTTTTTTAAAGTGGTTATATCAGTCTTCACCCCACTAGCACCCACTAGCAGTGGATGAGAGGTTCAATACTCCCTATCTTCACAAACAATTATTTTTTCTTTTTTTGTTTTAGGCATCCTAGTGGGTGTGAGGTATATCAAATTAACTTTTGAAATTGCATTCGCATGGCCATTAATGAAGTTGAGCTGTTTTCCATCTCTTGATCAGTCATTTGAATGTCTTTTTTCATAAAGTACCTGTTCTGGGCCTTGTGCCATTTTTCTATTAGGCTTTCTGTATTCTTTTTTAAAAAAAGTATTCACTTGTAGAGCGATAGTCCTTTACAGGATATGTCTGACTTGTCTTTTCACTTTTTTTTTTTTTAAGATTTATTTATGCTTAAAGAACTAGGGAATAGGCCAGAGGTTCAGGGGTAGTGAGAGACTTCACCAGAGAGAGTGGGGAGCAGAACAGGATGACTGATGAAGCACACTGCTGAGGGGAGCAGTGGGTGGGCCAGGAGAGGTCTGCCATGCCATGTGGGTCACCTCCAGGGCTGGGGATCAAACTTATGCTGAAGTAGCTTTAGCTTCTTAGTGCTGTGCTTTAACCCACTGCACCACCAGGGAGGGCCCTGGCTTTTCATTCTTTTAATGGTATTTTTTGATGAACAAAAACTCTTAATTTCATCCACTGTGTCATTTTCTTCTCTAATGCACTGCATGTGTGTTCTAAGAAATGTTTGCCATCAATTTGTGGAGGTAATCTCCTATGTCTTCTTCTTGAAATGGTATTATAACTTTCACATTTAGATACACAATCATTCTAAAGTTGATATTTCTGCAAGGTTTAAGTCAGGTCAAAATTAATTTTTTCACAACCCAGGTCTATTTGTTGAAGGAAATCCTTTCTCCACAGCAGTGCTATTATTCCCTTTGCCAAAGTCAAGTTAGCCTATACAAATCTGGCTTTGGTCTCTCTATTCTGTCCAATTGACCTATTTATCTATGCTTGTGCCAATATGGCAAAGTAAATCTCCTAAGGTTTTGATTGGTAATATATGAAAGATATAAATCAGTTTGGGACAACTGACAGCAAAATGATTTTCCAACCTATAAATATGCTGAATATCTGTGTGCCATCTTGATACCTATTAACTTTGTATTCATTACTGAACATTACATTTTAGATACAGATTTAAAAGCTACCCAGATCCCTCTCTTCCTGGATCCTAAGACTCTTCTTCACAACTCTCCCCCCCCCCTATATTCTTGAGTAATTGACACTTAAAATGATTTCACATATTACAGGTCCTTGTAGGGCTTAGTAGGATGACAATAAGGAATAAAACATAGTAGCCCCAATGATAGTGACATCCCTATACAATAGGAGCAGAAATGGGGTGCCTATGTATATGGGGATGTTTTCTTACCACATCATTCATGAGTTAAATATTAAAAGCCAAAAGTAGAAAACAATATTTTTTCCTTTTAGAAACCATGCCGTCTGCTGCCTTTGAATTATTGTATGCAGTTCTGGTCACCGCACCTCAAAAAGGAAAGTATATAGTTGGGAAAAGTCCAAGGAAGGGCAGCGATGAGAGCTGAAGGGATCGAGGGACTTCCTGGTAGAGGCATCCAAGCAGAACAAAAAACCTTTCAGATAAGAAGGGATATAAATGCAGCCCATGGTGTTGGAGAGTATGAATAGGTGTCAGTAGACCAAATCATAGAAAACACAATCAGTACCACCTACTGATACTTTCAAAAGGTAAATTTAAGGTAAAGGAAACTCTTGCCCAAAAAGGAACACAAAAATAAATAGATAATGGTTTCTTTAAAGGAAGCAACTATTAAGGGAACCAAGACTATTGACAGGTACATACTTAGACTTTCATATAACATGAAAAATATTCTTTTACTGTCAAGCTTGACATTCTTGATGGCACAGCAGGTCAAAATCTTATGTGACAAGGAGCTACCCCCCTGACCTGGTACTGCATTGTTTAAGTTGACAGGTACATCTTGCTGAGATGTCAATTTCTTTTTGCTCAGCCTCCGGTGGGAACAGAGACATTCTACATAATGGTGCCTCAGAGACTCTGGGACAATGATTAAGTTAATCACTTCTCAAGGTCGAATAGTCCTGGTCCCTTTTATTTCCACTGTGGATCATTGTTGTAGGCCATTTCCTCATTTCTGTGTCCTGGGCTGGCACCTGGCCTAGTTCCCTGTGTCCCTTGAAAGTTGCAGAGCCCTGAACTTAATACCAACTCCAATTTTGGCTAGAGTTTTAGGAAACAGTGTTTGTTCAGCAAAATGTTCTCTTTGTCAGCTTCTGAAAAAGGCTGCTTTATTCACATCTGAACACATATATACATCCTTGTGATCGTGGGCATCCCCAGATCACAGACAAGAGAAGCAGCCCACCTAGAGGAAGGTGAGGCTTGGGTAGTCCATTTTCTGTTGCTTCTCCAATGTTTTTATCCAGAATAGATCAAGGTTAATTTGGCAGAAAGAGCAGACTGGATGGGGGAAAGGCACAGACAGAGATCTGGAAGAATCACTAGTGATCACGTGGTCAAATAGATTTCAGTTTGATACACAGAGCTGTAGAGATTGCTGGTAGCTTCCAAGGGGGAGTCAGGGGGACCAGGGTCTGGTCCTCTCTGCTTCTCCTATCAAAGCAGATGTGTTAGAACTAGATTTCATTATTTTTTCATTTTCATAAAAGATTTTGTGGGAATGAAAATACCTTAAGTAAAAAACATTTTTAAATTATTCACCCCCCTCCCCAATAGCAACTATATAACATTCATACATATCACAGCTTTAATCCTTAGAGTGGTTGCTTTCATGCTTCTGCTTTTATGATTCTGTCATATCTGGCATGTGATGGATCATAGACTTTTAGATTTCAGAAGGCCCTGAGATGATCTGGTCCCACCACTTTCTTATGCAGAGGGAGAAAATGAAGCACAGAGAGATGAAAGAATAGTCAGCTGGCCATTCTGGACACTTCCAAAGATAAGGCACTCAATACTTCAAAAAGAACTTGTCCCCAGGTCTCCGTGGTGGCACAAGTGTTAAGTCTCAGCACTATGAGGCTATCTGCAGCCACTGCTGCAAGAGTTTAGTCCTCAGCCAGGGACCTGACCCACACTGTGCTGTAGACTCTCATGCCCCGCCCCCTGCTCCCCTCAGCGGTGTATTTCCATCAGTCTGTTTCCCATTCTATCTCTGGTGAATCTTCTCACTCCTCACCTCTGGTCTACACCCCAGATTTTGTATGCACACATAAATAAGTCTTAAAAATAAAAAGAACTGAGTCCTCCCTGGTGGTGCAAAGGGTTAAAGCACAGCTCTATGAAGCTATCTGCAGCCACTGCAGCACGAGTTTGATCCCTGGCCAGGGAGCTGACCCACATGGCGCGGCACACCTCTCCTCAGCAGTGTATCTCAATACATCTGCCTGTTCTGTTCCCCACTCTGTCTCTGGTGAATCCTCTCACCCCCTGAACCTCTGGCCTGTACCCCAGTTCTTGTATATATAAATAAATAAAATCTTTTCTTTTTTAAAAAAAGAACTTGTCCCTAAGATGGATTGAAGCTATTTAATAGACTGAGTTTATTTTACCCTCCACAACTAACCTTATAATTAAATTGCCTCCTTTCAGGTAAAAAGGGCCATGGCTGTCATCCATGGCATAGAGAGCATATGTAGGGGGCGGGGACCCCTGGTTCAGTCCAGGTCATCCACACAGAAGGAGAGGAGTGAGGAATGGGAAGGTACAACTCAGCTTCTCCTCTCTAAACTGCATCAGCAGCCAAGTGGGAAATTGTGTGAGAAAGATGGAGGGAGCTTCAGAGGCCATGACAGTCAGAGGAAATGGCAGGGGATGGGAGGGAGGCGAGGAAGCGAGGGGCCCAGAACCTGGAGTGGATGTAGCTAGTCAGCTAAATTCAGCATGCCCCCAACCAACAACCTCTCCAGGAGACCTCCTCTGGTGTTTGCTTTGCTCTACAAGGCAACATGAATGAACATCATCTACTTGGGCCCCAAAGCTCTTAAGAGACCTCTGAAATGTGAGATGTGTTTCTGGGTCCAGCAGCCACTGAACAAGATGTAAAGATTCCAGTCTTTCAGGGCTGAAACAAATCAATAAGACCATCTGGATAGCCACTTATTTCCCTATGGGAACTGTGAGCCCCAAATAAGCAATTTTCCTAGGCCATCAGCCAACTATATGACCCAGATCTCTGGTGCTTGATCTCATGTTCTCTCCCCTACACAATAATTGATTTGCACATTGTGTTGGCCAGCCTGACTTAGTAAGGCAGTTGCTCTTATTCGTTATTTTCTGAATGAGAAGATTTAAGCCTAGAAAGTTGATCGTTGATGTCCACAGAGTTAGGGAGCCCAACCTTTGTTCTACCCACCCCAAAACCCTCTTCTGTAGGGCAGGCCAACAGGCTGGAGTTCAGGTAAATTTCCAAAACCACCTACCCAGTTGCAGGATCCCCCTAGGGGGTCTAGGAGGCCTAGGAAGATGCTCCAAGCAGCTGGGGCAAAGACAGAGAAGACTGGTGTGACTGCGAAGTGGTCGGGTGGTCCAGTTTTCAGGCCCCAAAGTTTCCCCTTTATTGACATTGCGTTATGTCATCCCCCTCCCTTCCTAGACCTATGTTCACATTCTTTCTTCATCCCCTCACCCTCCCCGACCTCAATCAAGAAAAACGTGACAGATCCACCCTAAGTTCTAATGACCCATTGCCTAAGGATGTTTGCTTGTTTTGCTCATTGCTATATCGCAAGGAAGTAAAACAGAGCCAAACATTTGGGCGTCACTCAAAAAAATATCTCTAAGAATGTGGATTGTTGAAATCTTCTTCAAAAGGATGGCACTGGGTAAAACTGTCAGGGACAGAGGGACAAAGAGTGAAGGATTGAGGGTAATAATCCTCGTGAGGAAGTAACAGAGGAGGAGATGACACCATGGAGTAAGCATCCAGGATGGACCGGGAATGAAGGAACCAGGGGGTGAGGCACGGACGGGTCTGAGGACTCATAGGAGGGTGGCATCGGGAGCCAAGGGCCTGATGCTGCCTTCTCCCCATGGGCCTCTGTTCACAGAGCCCCTGGAGGGGGTGAACATCACCAGCCCGGTGCGTCTGATCCATGGCACGGTGGGGAAGTCAGCCCTGCTCTCCGTGCAGTACAGCAGCACCAGCAGTGACAAGCCTGTGGTGAAATGGCAGCTGAAGCGGGACAAACCAGTGACTGTGGTGCAGTCCATCGGCACAGAGGTCATTGGCACCCTGCGACCTGACTATCGAGACCGCATCCGCCTCTTTGAAAATGGCTCCCTGCTTCTGAGTGACCTGCAGCTGGCTGATGAGGGCACCTATGAGGTCGAGATCTCCATCACTGATGACACCTTCACTGGAGAGAAGACCATCAACCTCACTGTGGATGGTAGAGTGATCTGGGGGGGGGGGGGTGCGGGCAGGGAGGACATGGGCTGGGAACAGGAACTGCCCCTAGCTAAACTGGTGGTAAGCGATGATCCATCACGAAGGCCACTGAGGAGCTGAGAGTAGGCCAACTAGGTGTTAGAAGTTGGCAATAACTATCATGGACAGAGCTTTCCTTGTATGAGAAACTATTCTTTGCTTATGTTGAATCATTTAATACCTCTACCTCTCTGGGGTTAGTTAATATCATCATCCCCATCTTGCAGATGAGGAAACTGGGATACAAAGAGGCTGACTAACTTGCCCAAATTCAGGTTGTAGTAAGTGCTAAAGCTAATCCTTAAACCCAGAAGACAGTTGAAATAAGGCTTAGCCCAGTTCAAATATGCTTCAGGCTGGGTGAATTTAAAATATCTTGAGTAGATATTTGGGGAAATGAGAAGGGATGGTCCGTGAGGGCAGGAGCCATGGCTGTCTTATACAGCATTATCTCCTCTCCCTACATTTATTAGGTGCTCCATACATCGTAGGTGAATAAATGAGAGGATCAATGAATGGATGGATGGGTGGGTAAGTGGATGGATAGTGAGGGTGGGGATGAAGGCCTAGGCTGATGATCCCTGAAGGGTCTTCTCAGATGATAAATTGAGAGGTGAGGCCTTGGGAAGGCAAGGAGTTGAGAAGGGGAAGGGAAGGAGAAAGTTTTGTGCCCGTGACTCATGCTCCTGCACCCTTGGGCCCAGTGCCCATCTCAAGGCCGCAGGTGTTAGTGGCTTCGACCACGGTGCTGGAGCTCAGCGAGGCCTTCACCCTCAACTGCTCCCACGAGAATGGCACCAAGCCCAGCTACACCTGGCTAAAGGATGGCAAGCCCCTCCTCAATGACTCGAGGATGCTCCTGTCCCCTGACCAAAAGGTGCTCACCATCACCCGCGTGCTCATGGACGATGATGACCTGTACAGCTGTGTGGTGGAGAACCCCATCAGCCAGGGCCGCAGCCTGCCCATCAAGATCACCGTGTACAGTGAGTCTCCCTGACTGCCCTCCCCGGGACTCAAAACTCAGAGAGGCAAGTGCCCCTAAGGGACTAAGGACATTGCAGACAGAAGACCCATGCAGGGGGTTGGGGGGGAGGGGCAGAGATGGGCCAAGCTCTGAGATTCTGCAGCCTGGTGGCTGGGACTCCTTCTCTTCCTTCCACTGCAGAAAGCTTTTCTTGCCACAGCTGTGGCCCCCTCCAAAGCTTCTCCTAACTTGCTGCCTCTCTTTCTAGGAAGAAGCTCCCTCTACATCATCTTGTCCACAGGAGGTATCTTCCTCCTTGTGACCTTGGTGACAGTCTGTGCCTGCTGGAAACCCTCCAAAAAGTCTAGGTAATGCTCCAAGTTCATTTCCTGGGCACCCTACATCTTCCATCCATCCCAACCCAAAGTTCTATTCTTTTCTTAATCTTTCTGAATGCTTTGCCTCCCAGGGCCCAGCAACCCTTCCCAGAGGATCTGTCTCCTCATTGTGTGTGTTGTGTATAGAATCACATCCTGTGCACACAACCCCTGGTAACCCCAGTTCTGCTAGTAATGGTTTCACTGACAGGGCACCTTCTGGGGACCCAGCATTGTGGCTGTTGAGTGTGCTACCTTTTAAGTATTGTAATCAGAAATTTACAGACAGTGACCCCAAGACTCAGCTTGGTTAAATCACAGAGCTAGAGACACTCAGGCCCAGAACCTTGATGTGACTCATTTTAAAGCTCCTGGACACCTCCTATCTCTACCGCTTGCAGCTCCCCTTCCCATGGCAAAGTCTCTTACAGCCATCAGACCCCAGACCTCCTTCTGCTCACGCTCCATAACTCTGTTCATGGGGTGCTGGATTGGTATGCAGGAAGAAGAGGAAGCTGGAGAAGCAAAACTCCCTGGAGTATATGGATCAGAATGATGAGCACCTGAAACCAGAAGGTGAGCTCCCAGCCACCCACTCACCCTTCCCATCGCCACTCAGATCAGTGGGCTGCTGGGAAAAGGCAGAACTGGGCGACCAGGAAACCAGCTCTGCGGGGCCCCTTCCTCCACCAACTGCACGAAGACTGCAGAGCAGGGAGAAGTGCGGCCAAGGTAGGACCCCAGGTATTCTGGATCCCTTGTTGGAGGTTGTGGTGGGGCCTTGACTGGCCACTTGGGGAGCAAAGAGTGTAGGTCCTGGCTGGTAGAAAGGAATCTGTACCTGGGCCAGCCACCCCATTCTTTGCCCTGTGCAGCAGACAGCCTGCCCAGAAGCGGAGAGCAGGAGCGGAAGAACCCCATGGCGCTCTACATCCTGAAGGACAAGGTGGGTGACTCTGAGCCTGGCACCTTCACCCCCAGCACTCAACGGAGCCTACCACCTGCTGTCTCATAGGGATAGCCCTTGGAGAGATATTTGTGACACCTGTACTTTAGAAATTAGAAAAGTAAGGGTTACAGACACAAAAGAACCTGCCCAGGATCAAACAAGTATATAAAAGGCAGGTCCAGTCTTCCAACTGGGTCTTTAAACACCAACTCCGGTGATTTTCCCACTATGCCACAGTCACTTTGTCCCAGGCTGTCCAAGACAGGAGGAAAAGGAGGGGTCTCTGCACTCTGGATGACGCATTTCAGCGTTCCGGGAACTGGGACTGTGCAGGTGACAGTGTCTCCTTCACCTGGGTGTCCCCAGGGCGCTCCAGACTGAGCGGGCTGGTACACGTCTTTGCAGGACACCCCCGACCTGGAGGAGAACCCCGCCCCGGAGCCTCGGGCCGCGACAGATCCTGGCCCTCCGGCGTACTCCGTGTCGCCGACGGTCCCCGGCCGCTCGCCTGGCCTGCCCATCCGCTCCGCCCGCCGCTATCCGCGCTCTCCTGCGCGCTCCCCCGCCACCGGCCGGACGCACACGTCGCCACCGCGCGCCCCGAGCTCGCCCGGCCGCTCGCGGAGCGCCTCGCGCACACTGCGGACTGCGGGCGTGCACCTGATCCGCGAGCAAGACGAGACGGGCAGGGTGGAGATCAGCGCCTGAGCGGCCTCGGGACCCCCCGGAGGCACCCTCGCTCTGCGACCCCGGGCCCCGGAGCGGGCCTGGAAGCCCAGCTGCCGGCCCGCGGCGAGGGGTGGTTCTGGTGGGAAGCGGGGGTCAGGCGAGTGTGCGAGGGTGAGCTTGAGCATTTGGGGGGTCTGGGGGGACGCAGCGGGGCGGCAGGGAGCCGACCTGGTGGTGAAAGCGTCGCGGTTCACTGGCTGTGCTCTCAGTGGGTATGGGTTCTGCCCTCTTAGCACCCTATAGATGATTCTGTTTCCAGCCCAATGCCCCAAGGGTCGTGAGAAAACTAACATCAATAACCTAACTCCCGAGACTATCCTCTGCCCTTCCCAGGGAGCTCTCATGCTTCTCACCCACCTCCCTGGCCTCCGAACAAGTGTGGTTCCTGGGGCACTTTCCTGGCAGGCCCTTGTTAGGAAGGTCAATGACCCAAAACGCACAACTGCCCTCAACTGAGGAGAAGGCAGATGCTGGTTACTCAGTGCACTGGGGCTACTCCCTTTACTGGGAGTCCTTGGGCAGGCAGTGCCTGGGAGCCCCTTCTCTGCAGAGCTGATACTGGCTACCTGCCAGTTGGTGAGGAGGAAACCCAAATGCATTTCTTTGCCACTGAAGGGGAGATTGGGGGTTCGCTAGGGCTGGGAACTCAGCCACCCCTGGCCTCCTCCCAAAGCCTCCCTCAGGCCACTGCCAAGCATTCCTTCCACCCTTATTCCTGTGGAGAAGGGGTTTCCCACCCCCTCACCCCTGCCCCCTACCCCACCCCAGTCCCCACCACAGGAAGCTGCAGACAGTAAAGAACTCTTGGTAACTCTCACACCTGTACCTGCTCCCTGGCTTCCTTACAGAACAAGCCTTTCAAACAATCATTATCCCCAGGAAAGGTTGTTGAGCTTCTTCCAAATATAAGAGATTAAGGTTCCACTCTCCGGAAAAATGGGGATTGGAGGTGGGGGGTGAATTAAGCTTATTGCTCCCCAGCATGTCCCCAGTCCCCCTGATCCTGCCATGCTCCCAGATGCTTCGATCCCAGGAGACAGGCTCTGGAATCACACAAACATCAAAAACAGAGAGGCTGGGCCACTGTGTTGCCAGGCCATGCCCATCCCACTGCCTCCTGAGCAAACAGAGGAGAAACAATAACCTACTGTGTGAGGAGAGCAGAAAGAGGAGGCCCTCTGTGTGTTGTGGCCTCTCCTCCCTCGTGCCTCAAGGGGGGTCCTTGCATGCCTGTCTTCTCCCCACCTCCTGAGTTCTGACTCCACCCCACAGAGTAATTCCCCAAGCCCTTGCTTCCAGCCCAAGGGTAACAGTGAGTCTAGTCCCCAGACAGCAGGCCCCTCCTAGCTCCCTGTCTCCATGCATTTCTCCAGGTTTCCCTAAGCAGGTGTGCTTTTGCAACTCCCCTTAGGTTAGCCAAAAGTGGTCCCGTAACCCCCATTGGCCTCATCCACAGAGAGATAATGCCCAGGCAGGTGGGAGATGCAGGACTTGGAGAAGGGGTTCAAGCTGATCAGCCTTGAGAGGCAGGGTGAAGGTTAGGGTGAGGAGAGCTTGCCACATGCCATACGCTGGTGCTGAATCCCTGAGGGACTGACCGGCTTCCCAGTCTCAAGCCAAATCTGTCTTAAATTGGGGTAAATAAGGAAGTGGGATTTGTTTCTGTTTTGTTTTGTTTTGATCTTCATCTTTGTATTACTAGCATCTAGCAGAGTGCCTAGCACACACTGGATGCTCAATAAACTTTTGATGAAATGAAATGACAGTTTTATTCCACTTAAACAAGAACAAAACAGCTTAAAAGTGCTAGTCATGTCTCTTTTCTCTTTTTTTTTTCATCTTCCTTCACTATCCTTCTCCCTCTTTGCAAACCCCAAATTAGCCACTGAAAAATCATCACTCATTCATCCATTCAGACATTCACATGTTGTTTCATTCATTCAGTAATCTTTTGTTAAAGTACGGTAGATCAGGGCCTGTGCTAAACACTGGGGAAATTATAATTATGCCATGACCAGCAGACAGTCTCACAGTGGAGTCAGGTGAGCCAGATTATTATGATACAGCATGAAAAGTGTAATGACAGAGGTAGAAACTGCATACTCTGAAAGTTTGTAGGAAACTAGGCCCAGATTAGGGTTTGTCAGCAAAGGTACCTTGGAGAACAGGTCTTAGAAAGATGAGTTTGTTAGTCAGATGGGGGGGAGGGGAGAAGGAAGGAACACATGTTGCAGAGGGAGCAGCATGTAGAAAACTTTGGAAATAATAAGACATAATGGGAATTTCAGGGCACTGAGCCCATAGCAGTGGGTTAAAATTATTCTGAGAGTTGTATAGAGTGAAAGGAAAGAAGGCTGAGGAAATCAATATGTGAAGATAGGTTAAAAGAGCTTCACCAAAGAGGCTAAGACAAACTTAAACAGTAGGGAAGGAGCAAAGATAGATTAAAGATTAGGCCTCTCTGGTGGCACAAGGTGTTAAAGCACGGAACTCTGAAACTATCTGCATCCACTGCAGCACGAGTTCAATACCCAGCCAGGTTGCTGACCCACGTGGTGCAGGAGGCCTCTCCTGACCCGCCTGCTGCTCTCCTCAGCAGTGTATTTTGGTTGATCTGCCTGTTCTGCTCCCCACTCTGACTCTGGTGAATCCTCTCACTCCCTGCACCTCTGATCTGTACCGCAGTTCTATATGCACAAATAAATCAATCTTTAGGAAAAAAATAAAGAATATAATGGTATAATACAATCAAAGGCATATGGTTTCAAAAAAATGGAACATCCAGGATTGCAGGGGGTGTCATATATGAAAAGGAATTTAAAATGTACATTAAATTTGACAACAAGGAGATCACCAATCAACTTGGCATAACTAGTTGATGTAGAGGGGTTAAAACCAGATTGCAATAGGTGAAAAGTGACTGATCTGTGGGACTTCAGCTAGATACCTGAAAGAACAGAATGAGCAAATCTATATAAGCGTCAAACCAATAAAGGGGGAAATCATATAATGAAACAAACACATAATCTGTTAAGGATTAAAAAAAAAAACAAGAAACAAGGACAGAAAAAAGTATAATAATGGAAAGTCAAAAATAAGGTGGTAGATACAAGAATAATTTATGAATGTCCTCAAATAATATGCTAAAATACGATGTGTAGGAATGTATTTTTTTAATCCAGCCATATGCTATTTAAATGAAATATATCCAAATTAAAGATCTTGGAGCAGAAAGTAACATAATTGAAAGAGATATACAGGAACATAGTAAGTGAAAGGAAGCTGAGGTGACTATTAGCCTAAGACAAGTGAACTTTATGACAAGAGCCTAATCAGTAAGATGATCTGACACCCCATTAGTCTGAAACAGTTGGCTTACTTATGTTATCCTGGCAATATTATTGCTTGTATGTCTTTTGACTCCTCAAAAGGAACCCAATTAAATAGCTTACCACCTTATTAGAAATAAAAAAGGTGTTTTGACTTTGAGATCAGGTAATTTTTTTCAGGAAATACCAGTAGGATGGTAAGGAAGTAGAACAGGAAAGAGATCAAAGACAATAAAGGATAAAGTTAAACCAGTTCATACTTTGGGAAACTGAAGCTCAGTTTTGTGTGAGCACTGGGAAAAGGTGTCAAATGGTCTAAGAGGCAAGGAAGCTGAAATATCGATGTAACAAATTCCCATCCATCACTAGTTTGGTCTTCTTTTAGGGCCTAACTCCCCATACTTCTGTCTCACTGCACATGTGCCCAAATCAGGCCCCCAGAGTTACATGTATTCAGGCGGGCAGATACATCCTGACAAGTTAAATGAACCCTCAACAGTGTCTGCCACAGAGCATAACTACATTATGTTAAAATTCACCAAACTATAGTAGGGTTCAAGACATTTTGAAGAATTAGTATGATAAGACTACACTCTTTGATCATGAATTAAATTAGAATTCAATACTAAAAAGCTCTATAAAATTCCATTCATTTGTATATATGAGTATACTTCTTAGTGCCATGTACAGTCAAAGAAAAAATTATAAAAGAATTTTAAAACAAAATATAAAACTCTTAGAATAAAAGCCAGATGACCTTTGTGATGACATTTAAGATACAACCACCATCCATGAAATTTCACCATCTATGAAAGAGATCATTGACAAACTAGACCTCATTAAAATTTAGAATTCTAGAAAAATTTTTCAAACAATTTTTAATTCTGCTCTCCAAAACACAAGATTGAAAGAATGATTAAAAATATATAGGCCACAGTTTGGAGGGGAAATCGTTGCAAAACACATGTCTGATGAAGGACTGCTATCCAAACTACAGAAATATCTCTTAAAATTAAAAAATAAGAGGCCCTCCCTGGTGGTGCAGTGAGTTAAAGCACAGCACTGAGAAGCTAAAGCCACTTCCGCATGAGTTTGATTCCCGCCTGCCCCTGAGGTGACCACATGGCGTGGCAGACCTCTCCTGACCCGCCCGCTGCTCCCCTCAGCAGTGTACTTCGTCGATCTGCCTGTTCTGCTCCCCACTCTGTCTCTGGTGAAGCTTCTCGCCACCCCTGGGCCTCTGGCCTGTACCCCAGTTCTGTATGAACAAATAAATAAATCTTTAAAAAAAAATTCAACAATAAGAAAAAAACAATTTAATAGAGTCAAAAGACCCTAATATCTGCCTCATCAAAGCTATCCAGTTGGTAAATATGTCTATTGATGTTATAAGGTCTAATGACAAATGAGTAATTGAATGTCATCAGGGAAACACAAATTAAAACAATGACAAGACAAAACTACGCAACTATGGGAATGGCCCAGATCTGGAACAGTGACAGAAACAAATGGCGAGGATGTGCAGCAGCAAGAACTCTTGTTTGTTGCTGGTGGGAGTAAAAAAATGGTACAGTAACTTAGGAAGACAGTTTGGTTTCTTACCCAAAGTCCATTTGGGCAAAGTTTGGTCTAGGTGTGACCCATACTTACTAATGTTGAGAAATTCAAGAAATGGCAGTTAAATATCTTTTCCCCACAGAGCCTGGAATTGCCCCTGAAGCTGATGAGAATGAGCTAGGGAATAGGAGCTGCACTGTGAAGTAACATCATGGATTACAACAAGTCTCCTCTTGACTCAATTCCCTCCAGCTATCGGCATCTCTGCCAAAGATGGACGTTTAGAGATTAGGACATGATGTACCCAAAAAAGGAAGGGGGGGTGGCCAAGAAGTTAAAAAGCACAGATATCAAGGTCAAAAGTGCCGAGGAGAGGTTGGCTCAGGCTGTGGCTGCTTTGCTCAGGGTTGGGGTACGCCATGCCCAGAACACTCAAGGGAAAACTAACCCGCAGCTAGTGTTTCAAAAGTGCTTCCAATTCCACCATCTATAAACCCCACACATATTATAGATGAGGAAAGTGGACTCAGAAAGGCTATGTGACTTATTCAAGGTCTCTGTGTAAAAGGTAGAACCAACTGCTAAAAATGGAGCTTCCATGTGATCCAGCAATCCCACTCCTAGGTATCTACCCAAAAGACACAAAAACACTGATTCAAAGAGACACCTGCACCCCCATGTTTATTGCTGCTTTATTTACAATAGGAAAGACTTGGAATCAACCCAAATGCCCAAAAGTAGATGACTGGATTAAGATGTAGTACAGATGCACCATGGAATCAAAAAGATAAACACATGTTTTTGCAGCAACATGGATGGAGCTGGAAAAGATCATGCTTAGTGAGATAAGCCAGAAAGAAAAGGAAAAATATCAGATGGTTTCATTTATAGCAGGAGTATAAAGGACCAGGCAAGAAAATAATAATAATAATAATGAACAACTATATGCCAGAGACATTTTACAGGGGTGGAGTGGGGAATGGGGTCAAAAATGGCGAGGGGAATGCACTGGACTATGGTGATGGCACACGAGTGAATTGGTGGTGGGAAGCCCACGGGGATTACAACTGAGAAGAAAAAAGGCACAAAATGATATAAAAATAAGCTATTATATTATTAAAGAAAAAAAAAAGGAAGAACCAGGAACCCACCCCAAGTGTTGCTGACATCAAATCCCACCTGAATTCCTGCCCTTCCCCCACCGGCTTGGCCAGCAGCCAGTCCCAGCTGTATCTTCAGAGAATACAGGACAGGAAGCTAGAAAAGCCAGGGACTAGAGGTTAAAAATTTCCTCTGGAGGTCTTGAGAAGAGCACCCAACCCCTCTCCTCCCTCGAACGAGCCACCAAGGAGTTACAAAAACACACAACTCTAGAACAAGAGGTAAAGGAAGGAACTGTCTAAACTGGCCATGCAGTCCACACCTGACGCGCCCCAGAGCAGAGCTTGCTTGAAATAACAAGGGGAGGCGGCTCTCATTGACTAATATCACCCCCGTGACTCACGCAGTCGGCTCTTCCTTAGTGCATGGGAATGAGACAATCAGGATACTGGAGGCCAGGTTGCTGGAAATGAGCTTTGTGCGTTCTGGAGGCCATGCAGACTGACCTCACCGTAGGGAAGTCCACTTGGCCATCACCCCTGGGTACCTGACTGAACGAAGAGGAGATGAACGTCCTGGAATTGCTCAGAGGAATCCGTGCTGCCAGTCCCCAGCAGGTCTTAGCGGTTGGCTCTCCAGGGTCCAGCACTGTGCTTGGCCATGTCCAGGACTGTGGGGCCATCCCTCAGGCTGCCATGGCCCTTGAGCTCCATCGCCCTGGGCTTCCATTCGTGTGGTGCAGCACTGCCAGTCTCCTCAGATGTCACCTGCCACCTGTCAGCTGTGGACAGGGTTACTCCCAACTCTGAAATCCTTTGCCTTTTCTTTATTTTTTAAAGATTTGTTTCATTTATTTACACCAACAAGAACTGGAGTGTAGGGGCTGAGAAGATTCACCAGAGACAGAGTGGGGAGCAGAACAGGTAGATGGACTGAGATACACTGTGAGGGGAGCAGCAGGTGAGACAGGAGAGGTCCGCCACGCCATGTGGGTCAGCTCATGGGGTGGGGGGTTGAAATCAGCCACAGTGGCGAGCAGTAGCTTGATAGCCCTGAGATGTAACCCCTGTGCCACCAGGGAGGCCTCTTTGTCTCTTTTTTCTCTCCAAAGGAAAAATACTATCTTTCTGGATTGGAGAGATCTGAATCAAAGCAAGTTGGCACTAAAATGTTAGCAGACAACATTGGCTAGTCTCCCCAAGTCCAGAGTATAGCGCAAGGGACTAACGAATATTGCTGTTAGCATAGGCATGTGGGGGATCAGATAGCCCTGGTGGCTCTATCACTGGGAAATCCCAGATTCACTGCATATGCAGCTCTAAGCCCACTTGTCCCACCGCGTCCTCTCATGGCTCGTCCTTGGCTGACGTCTGTGTCCTCATGAATACCCTCTCTGTCACTGGTCACGATCTCTCCTCCAGCCTGCCTGCTACACACACACCCACGTGCACACCATGGGCCTTGTCTCTGCCCTCAGCCCCTTTCTGAAATCCAGAAATGCCTGCTTTGGAGAAACCATGGTATTCTCTTACACATTAGTTTCAGTCAGTCTTCATCTGTGTGTGAGGGGACAGAGAAGACAGGAAGGAGGTCTTCCTCTCAGTAGGCGGTCAGGGCTGGGCCTGGCTCTGTGGCCAGGCTGGGAAGGGGAGGAGGGGAGGGACTCAGCTGGGGTAGGGGCCTCTCAGAGGAGCTGGCCAGGAACAATTGGGAACAAAGGCTGGACACTCTTCCTCTGAGCCCCCAGAGCCTGGCCTTGGCCTTCCGGAACAACTCCAGGAAGTGGCTGAGATTCCAGCTTTGGAAGGAAGAGATCTGTAAACAGGACCTGAGCTCTGAGAGGGGAGAGCAACTTCTGGGGGCCTGGGGGGTAGGGTGACAGCAGAGTGAGCTCTGATATGGCAGGCTCAGACTCTGTGAGACCTGACGGCTACGGAAAGTCTGAAAAGTCACTTACTCCAACCACCTTTCTAGAATCTGAAATCCAGCCCCGACAAGGATGTTCAACTAGTTTCAGTGATGGGATGTGCATAAAGATAGATAACAAGGCTGTGAAGCATTACGGTTCATTTATAATGCAACAGGTGCCATAATGAGTGGTTTTATGCTTTATCTCATCTCCTTCATACTCCACCTCTCAAGGTAGAAACTATAATTATTATTCCCACTTCACAGAAAAAGAAACTGACTTGCGGAGGGAGTTCAGTGACTTGCCGAAGTTCTCCCAGAAGTGATTTTCTTCCCTCTGAACTGAAAGGGAACACACTGGGAAGCTCCCAGCTTGTTCCAGAACCTTTGCTTCCTTCCTATGCACAGTCCTAGCCCACCCCCCAGCCCCATCTCCCCCTGGGCAATGACAGCCTGTGGCTGCTGCCCTCCACGTAGCTCCCTCAACCTCTTAACGCTGCACCCTGAGATTCCACTCTGCTTTTCCATTCTGGCAGAGGGCAGGAAAAGGACAAGGTTTGGGGTTCAAGGCTTTAACAGCCTTCGTGTTCAAGTTCCAAGGCGGTTTGGAGTTCTGGTTGGTGTGAAGATGGCCGAGGCTGGATGAGAGCTAGACCCTCTGGCTGGGTAGTGGCTGAAGTGATGAAGGTCAGAGAGTTTCTCTCCTCTGGTCTCCTCCCAGTTCTCCAAGGCACTGAGGGCTAGGCAGGAAGCATCGGTTTCCTCAAAGCCGCTTCCCTCCTGGGGCAGAGTCTCCGTCACAAACAACCACCCCACCCGGCCCCTCCTTCCCTCTGCTGTGAACTCAGAACGGCAGGACACAGAGCTGGGGACAAGGACCAAGGCCTGGTGCAGACATGGGCGCTGGCGGAGCAGGCTTCTTTGGGCCTGGGTGGCCCCTGTCTCTCCTGCTTCTGCTAGACACCGGTGAGTGAGGCCCTCTCTCCAGCTAGTCCAGGATCCCTAGGCACGGCTGAAGGGAGAGGAGGGGCAGCTTCCTTGCTTCCCTTTGGCCGTCAGGGTACCAGAGATGAGGATGGTGACGATGATGTGTGACAGAGACAAAGGGACAGACAGAGGGCTGCCTCGGTGCTGAGGGAGCCAGACCTCTCCCGTTCAGCTAGCTCATTACTGGGAGTTGATCTTCAGGCCAGAGAAGCCTGGGGAAGCCTGGAATGGAGGCCTGGGGTGAGGACATCTGGGGTGAGATGCTTGAAGTATACGGGATTTGGGGGTCCCCTGAGGAGTCAGACCAGGCTCCGCCTCTCTTTCCGTCCCAGGAGGCATGGCTCAGGACTCCCCGCCCCAGATCCTAGTCCACCCCCAAGACCAGCTGTTCCAGGGCCCCGGCCCTGCCAGGATGAACTGCAGAGCCTCAGGCCAGCCGCCTCCCACCATCCACTGGCTGCTGAATGGGCAGCCCCTGAGCATGGTGCCCCCAGACATACACCACCTGCTACCTGACGGGACGCTCCTGCTGCTGCGGCCCCCTGCTCAGGGACATGCCTACGACAGCCAGAACCCATCCACAGACCTGGGTGTCTACACGTGTGAGGCCAGCAACCGGCTGGGCACAGCGGTCAGCCGAGGCGCCAGGCTCTCTGTAGCTGGTGAGGCCTGGGAAGGGGGCTGAGGCTGAGGCACACGTGGGTCAGATGTCTGAGGGGAGGGAGGTTTGAGGGAATATCTGAGAGGGGAGGCCTGCCTGGGAGACCGTGGGTGGGGGGACTGGATTGGGGTGGCCGGTCTACCGAGTCCCCAGTTGGGAGACCTGGGAGGTGGGCTCCGAAGAGCCACACAGGGCCGAGGAAAGGTAGGTAAAGCAGAATGGGGCATGAGGTAGGACACCCCAGGGGATTTCTCTGCAGAGGTGCTCTGCTCCCTGCCCACCCTCTGTCCCCCCACAGTCCTCCGGGAGGATTTTCAGGTCCAGCCTCAGGACACAGTGGCCACTGTGGGCAAGCAGGTGATCTTGGAGTGTGTACCGCCCTGGGGCCACCCAGAGCCCACAGTCTCATGGTGGAAGGATGGGAAAGCCCTGGTCCTACAGCCAGGGCGGCACATGGTGAGTGCAGGCCCCTCCCTGCTTCATCCTGTCCTGGGCAGAAGGGGCTCCCCAGGGGCCAACCCAGCCTCCAGTCCAAGCCCCCTGCAGACTTAGAGAAGCAGAAGGCCACAGGCCTTGAGCACCCCCTCCCCGTGAGAACCCCTCCCCACAAGGAGACTTCATGATGTGCCTGGCCCTGACAGATGACCAGGGGCTCCCTGCGGATGGCAAGAGCTGAGAAGAGTGATGCAGGCACCTATATGTGCGTGGCCACCAACAGTGCAGGACAACGGGAGAGCCGGGCAGCCAGGGTGTCTGTCCAGGGTAAGGGGAGGGTATATAGTCCAGGTCAAGGGGGGGGTGTGGCTTGGCATGGGGGTAGGGCATATGAACCTGAGAGCTGGGAACTTAATTTAGGGGGTGGTTCTCTCACCCTGGAATAGAAAGATGTGGGAAATGTCCGAGATGATTTCCTCCATGGTGGGAGTTCTCCCCCTTTGCCCTGTGAAGTTCAGTTCCTTCATTCTGGCCTGTAGGCCTCATCCCAGCCCTCTGCTCCCCAACAGAGCCCCAGGACTACAAGGAGCCTCTAGAGCTTTTAGCTGTGCGCATTCACCTGGAAAATGTGACCCTGCTGAACCCGGACCCTGCAAAGGGCACCAAGCATGGGCCTGCTGTGTGGCTCAGCTGGAAGGTGAGGCCTGGGATGCCAGGGTGGGAGCAGGCCCAGAGTTGAGTGAAGGCTGGTCCTGAGCTCCCTGTCCCCTTGCCTTTCCCAGGTGAGCGGCCCGGCCGCACCTGCTCAGTCCTACACAGCCCTGTTCAGGGCCCAGACTGCTGGAGGAGGCCAGGAAGGCCCATGGGCCGAGGCCCCGCTGGCCGGATGGCAGAGTGCAGAACTTGGGGGTCTCCACTGGGGCCAAGACTACGAGTTCAAAGTGAGACCCTCCTCCGGCCGCGCTCGAGGCCCTGACAGCAACGTGCTGCTCCTGCGGCTGCCTGAGCAAGGTCAGACACAGATGCCCTCAGGAACTGACAATATTCCTCTGCCTAGCACCCAGGGACTCCAAGACTATCCCAGGCCAATCTCGGGAATGCTGGATCTTGCTCCTGGATGGTCTTCTGCGCTAGGAGGGACAGCTATTCTCATTAGTGTGGCCTCTGACCCCAGGCCCCCAATTCCAGTTCTTTTCCTTAGAGTTCCTCAGCAGCCCTTCCTGAGTCTCTTCTTCCCCCTCTCCAGTGCCCAGTGCTCCTCCACAGGAGGTGACCCTGAAATCTGGCAATGACAGTGTCCTTGTGAGCTGGGCCCCACCGCCTGCTGAAAACCACAATGGCATCATCCGTGGCTACCAGGTACCCTCACACCTGAAATACCCCTTCCTTGTAGGGCAAGACACCCCTCCTCGCCTGCGTCCTGCAGACCCTTGCCCTGGGCCCTGAGGAACAAAGGGAATTTATGGTCGTGGAGCCGGACCCTGTTAGCAACTTCACCCAAAGCCCTCATGTCGTCCCACCATCCACCTTGGGTTATTATCCCCAATTTACAGATACGGAACAGGAGGCTAAGGACGCAGGTGTAGGGAGTCAGAGGAAATAGCCTGAACTGTATGACTCGCTAAGGGTGTGGTGTCAGTGTGGCTTCTGGACCAGCAGCATCCACTTCATCTTGGCACTCAGAAATGCACCTTCTTGGGTCCTTTCCCAGACGGGATGATTCAAACTCAGGGCTGAACCTGGCAACTGGGATTGTAACAAGCTCTCCACTGAGTGGTCCTAAAGCACACTGGAGCCTGAGAAGCATGGGTTTCATGCCTGTTGCCATTGGTTACTTCTGCCCAGCCTCGGGGGGAGGGACTAGAAAGTGTGGGTACCTGTGGGGAGAGGACACCCCACAGGTGGGGTGGTTGGGGAGGACGACCCCACGCCCAGAGCCTGATTTGCAGGTGAGGGCTCAGCTGCTAGGGTGGTGCCTGGGAAGGGGTGAGGCGGGGGTGGCTACTCACCTCTGCTTTGCCTCAGGTCTGGAGCCTGGGTAACACCTCCTTGCCCCCAGCCAACTGGACGGTAACGGGTGAACAGATGCAGCTGGAGATCGTCACCCGAACGCCCGGTTCCTACTGTGTGCAAGTGGCTGCAGTCACTGGCGCTGGGGCTGGGGAGCCCAGTAGCCCTGTCTGCCTCTTTGTAGGTGAGGGCTCTGCGCACCCACCGCACCCACCCCACCCACGCCCCTTCAGCTTCACTCCCACCTTCCCTCCTACCTACCTCCAGCCCCTCCCCTTTATCTACCTCATCTACCCCTCCCCTGAGCTCCAAATCCCATATAGAGCAAGCCATGGAGAGAGCTGCCCGAGAACCCACAGACCATGGCCAATGGACCCTGGAGCGGCTGAAGGCCATCTTAAAGCGGCCAGAGGTGATTGCCAGCGCAGGTGTTGGGATCTGGCTGCTATTGCTGGGCACTGCTGTGTGTGTCCGCTGCCGGCGCCGAGCGGGGGTACACCTGGGCCCAGGTGAGAGGGTGAGGTGGACCCCCAGGTAGTTAGGTCTGCTCAGGGGCCAGCCAGATGCTACAGGGCCTGGTGCTGGAGACTCAGCCTTCCTCTGTCCTCTCCCAGGCCTGTACAGGTACACCAGTGAGGATGCCATCCTAAAACACAGGTGAGGGGCAAGGGGAGGGGCCTGGGGCAGGGAGGGACAGATGGGTCAGAGGCCCATGGAGCTGGTGAAGCTCTGGTCTCTCTTCCGACCAGGGAGTTTGGGATCCTAGCACCTGAATCTCTCCTGAACTCCAGTAGAGAATTGATTCCTCTGTCATTAATGTTCATTCCTATCACACCACTTTACAGGTTTGTAAAGTGCTAAGGGTTTTGCTTTATGGATGTGATGAAAAGAACTTAGAGAGAAAAACAATCAGATTCATCAAGGACTGTTTATTGGGGTCACACAACAGAGGAGGGGCAGAAACTGGCCAGAGCCACACTCCGGGCCTGAGAGCAGTGGGGGAGAGAGGATGTTCCCACTTTGGGGGCGGTAGCAGGGAGGCAGGGTATAAGCTGGCCAGGGTTTTGTGATTTTCAAAACAAACAAGGACCAGGTTAACCCAATAACAGGAAAGCAAAGTGACAGACAAGGACCAGTTACCAGGGGCCCCGTAACAAGCAAGATTTCGAATTTAATTGACTTTGTGGCATGCTAGTAGCTAGTAGCTGGCCTTCTGAACTCCTAGTGGATGCTCTTGCGTCCTAACTCTAATACTTACCACACTCTGCCACTGACTCGCTCGGCTAGGTGGGGAGTAACTAGCACAAAGGACCAGTCTGATTTCTAATACCTCTGCATGCCCAGGAAAGTGCCTTTGCATTTGGTGAATCGCCTGCCTGAACGCTTTCCTTCATGACAGTCCCCCCTTAGCGCCAGCAGAGGGCGCTCTGCCCCCACATCATAGACTTACTAGTCCTGAAGAACAGGGCCAGCTTGCAGGTACATCTGCAAGTGTTTGGCTGCCAGAATAAATCTGCTGTTATGAGACAAGATGCGAAGAAAGAAAACATCCTCGTTTTCTTTCCCTGCTATTGGCTGAATTTTGCCATCTCATCTCTGCCCACTTCCTTCTCTTTAGCTCATTACATTTCCTCTGGAAGTCTCCATGTCCTAGATGTACACCTTTCAACAAGGTGTCCAAGCACCTACTATGTGTCAAACACATCTAGGGCTAGGCCTTAGGATATCATTTTACTGTCGGGTTCCAAGCTGGCTGGAGCTTCTGCCTTGTTCTACGCTCACTAGCTTTTCTTTTCCAACTACTCTGGATTTTGTCTGTTCTGCCCTCAACTCTCTCTGGCTCCTCTGGGGCTTTACCCCTGTCCTTGAGAGAGATTCCATTCTGATCCTTTTGTGCATTCATTCCTTTAGAACAGTCTCTAGCAGAAATTCTGTCCAAGCAAGAACAGCCATGCTGGTGTGTGTATGTGAACCTGTGATGGAAAGGGCAGAAAGATGACCAAGATTTGCAGAGGGGAGGGGTTGGGGTGAGGAGCTGGGAAAGATCTACAGTAAGAAGGTGAAGGGCAAAGAGAGCAGCAAGAAACAGTCTGCTGTGTTCATAGAGAAACACAGACCCTCGGTCTGGCTGAGGCCAAGCGTACAGCTTCTCCATCTAGCTTCAGCTTCAAAGCTGAAGATAGCCCAAGAGGGTCCTGTGAGTCATGCTGAGTAGCTGGGCCCTGTTTTGGCAAATAGGCAGCCACTGAAAGTTTAAGGTAGAGAAGAACTTCAATCGAATCCTTTTCTTGAAAGATCACACAGGCAGCCAGGCTAGAGGTAGAGTGAGCAAGCTCCACAGAGCAGGGTCCCTCCCTGCCAGCTGGATGATCTCACGTTTCCTCACCCCAGCACACAGCATCACCGGTACATGGAAAGGCTGTGGGTGGCCATTTCGCACAAGCAGTTCACTCAGGGCTGCACAGCCTGTCTGCAGTAAATGGACGAGGGGGAGTCTCACCCCAGGACCCCAGGTCTACCTGGCTCTCTCACCCCAGGTCTGCATGGTGTTCTCTCGTTTGTGCTGGCACACCTAGCTGTCACTCTTCACTGTCTCCTAGGCTGGGCAGGTAGGGCTTCCCCAATTCCAGAATCAAAAAGGAGCACTGAGTTGGGGACACTGGATCAGTCTTTTTGTTGTTGTTGTTAAAGATTTATTTATTCATACAAAACTGGAGTACAGGCCAGAGATGCGGAGGGTGAGAGGATTCACCAGAGATAGAGTGGGGAGCAGAACAGGCAGATCGACGAAGCACACTGCTGAGGGGAGCAGCGGGCGGGTCAGGAGAGGTCTGCCACGCCATGTGGATCACCTCCGGGGCAGGCGGGAATCGAACTCATGCAGAAATGGCTTAAGCTTCTTAGTGCTGTGCTTTAACCTGCTGCACCACCAGGGAGGGCCTGGATCACAGTCTTAAGGAATCTGTGAAGGGCAGGAATACAGTGAGAACAAAAGTGGAACCACCATCTCAACCCCTCTGCTAACCCCTGAGCTGGAGGTCTTGGCCAGTTAGGTTCTTACTTCACCCTACTTGTCCTCCCTCCCTGCTGCCCCAGGATGGATCACAGTGACTCCCCCTGGCTGGCAGACACTTGGCGGTCCACCTCTGGCTCTCGGGACCTGAGCAGCACCAGCAGCCTCAGCAGCCGGCTGGGAATGGACCCTCGGGACCCACTGGACTGCCGTAGATCTTGTGAGTGTGCCCAGCAGGGGCCAGGGTGAAGTGGAGCAGGACTCCCAGGGCTGAGAATGGGCAAGATATGCTCACCACAGTTCCTCCTGTCACTTCTACCACAGTGATCTCCTGGGATCCCCGAAGCCCTGGCGTGCCGTTGCTTCCTGACACCAGCACTTTTTATGGCTCTCTCATTGCTGAGCTGCCCTCCACCCCCCCAGCCAGGCCAAGCCCCCAGGCCCCAGCTGTGAGGCGTCTCCCACCTCAGCTGGCCCGGCTCTCCAGCCCCTGGCCTAGTTCAGACAGCCTCTGCAGCCGCCGGGGACTCTCTTCTCCACGCTTCTCCCTGGCCCCCTCAGAGGCCTGGAAGGCCAAGAAGAAGCAGGGTAAGGATGGGAAGGCTACAGAGAGCCTCAAGTGGGTGAGTGGAGGGACTGGAGAGGGAATGTGGTAATGTGACCCACTGGTCTGGAAGCAGGGTACAAGGAGCAGTTCCCACAATTGCTCCTGTTCTCCTGTCCAGTGGACACTGATCTCCACAGCACTCAGCTTAGAGGGTGCTGGCCTCAGCTTTTCTTCACACTGCCCTTGTTTCCATTTGACCACAAAAGTAATGAGCAACGTTTAATAAGCGCTACGTATGCCAGAACTGGGACACAAGAGATATCAGAACTAGTGTTTGCCCCTAAGGGTTGAAAGTCTAATGAAGGTGCATGACCAGCAGACATGTAATTCTAGAACCTGGTAGAATAAGCCCGACGCAGTGTGACGCCTCATCCCTGAGCGCAGCCAGACCAAATGCCTGTCTTTCTCTATGAACAAAAAAGAATATTTCTTGCTGCTCTTTGCTCTTCCCCCTTTTACCCTGAGTCACTATAATAATGTCCTCCTGTGTTCCTCCACCCTGAAAACCTCCCCTCCACATAGCTTGTTCACATTTCTGCCCTTCCAATACCAGATTGCATTTCTGCAAATTTCTGCTAGACAGAGATTGTTCTAAAGCAATGAACGAGTAAAACCATCAGAAGGGCGTCTCCCTCGTGAACTCTTCTCCCGGTGCACTATTCAGAGTTGTGCCCAGACACCAACTCCCCACCCATCTCCCATTGAAGAATGAGTATTTCCTTCCCATTGAATTTCTCTCCTGATTTCCAGCTTCCTCATTTGACTTTACAGAGGGAAATTATTGGTCTTTGTTTCTTTCAACTACAATATAGGAGGTACTTCGTTTATGTTATTTTGCTTAATCTTCAAAATATATTGGCCAGGAATTATTTCTCGAATTTTACAGATAGGGAAAGAGGGTCAGAATTGGGTAACTTGTTCAGAATCAATAAGCTTGTTGAAGTCAGCGAGCCATAGAACTTGAATTTGAAGCCAGAATGGTCTGCTTCAAAGGCTCTCCTGTGAGCGCCCTTGGGGAATCTCACTCTCTCTATCCTCTTATTTCTGAACATTGGCCTGCACCTGCTAACCTTCACGAACCTTCTATACTGATCAGTAAGACTTACAACTGTTCCACAGCCAATTCCTTTATTCTTAACTGGCTGTCATCCAACTTTTATTAAGACAAAGATGGATTCAGAGTAATTAAGAGCTTGTCCAATATCCAGAATTTTATGACTTTGAATATTAACAAAGCTGGCATTCTTTCCAGCTTTGCCTCAGAGCTACTGTAACATAAATCCTCATTGCCAGTGCAATACCAGCTGAAAGAGACTGCATATGTCTCACTTAAAAACCAGCCTTCCCATGGAGAACAAAACTGACTTTAATATAATGAATAGTCCCTCATAGAGCACTAGTAAATCTGGGGGAAATGAACAGTTTTCTACAGCTACTTAAGATGCCAGTTCTGAGATGAGGCTTTTTAACCTTACTCAGAGGTTCAGTTCTTACTTTACCCCCTTTCTCTTCACCCCAGAGGATTCCCACATGTCCCAGGATGGGTTGGCTGGTGACGCCCTGCACTGTAGACACTTGGCCCTCGATCCACTCTGGCTTCCAGAATCCCAGCAGCAGCAAGTTCATGCTACAGCTTTGTCCAGAGCCACTGCTGTTGCCTAAGCCCGAAGACAGCATGTCTTTGTCTTCCAGACCTGGCAGGCACCTCCCCAGGCCCTTCTCACTTTGAGCTGCTTGTTCCTTTTTCTTGTCTTTTGAAGTTTCTTGTTGTTTTTCTCCAAGCTGTGTTCTCATACCTGCACTATCCCGTATCGCAACCATTATATCAGGTCCTCAGTCCTCGTTTTGCAGATACATTGGATGACCTCATTACTCCATTAATTCAAATGAATGCTCATTGCAGTGTAAGCATGCCTGGTGAGATCAGACCTACCTTGTCAGCATTTTGGTTGTATAGTTTAATTTAAATAGCATAGGAATTTAAAAATCCACATAATTTCAAGCATTCTCTTTCCTCCTATTTTTGAACCTTGGTCTGCTTTCTACCTGCTAATCGCTATGAAACATCCAATGAAACTCCTATGCTGATCAATAAGGCTTACCATAGGGTAGAATAAGGTTTTTGTTTACTAGGACCCACTAGGGAAAATGAACAGGCTGGAATGAATATGGCCTTTCCCTTCAAGGGGAGGGACTAGCTTTTCCCCTTCCCGTTCCACACACTCCAACCAACCCTCAAGTGTCCCCATTTCTGAATTTAGTCAAGAGGCCAGGCACTAGGCAAGACAAAGATAATGGTGGAAGATATGGAGCACCTGAAATGGGCCTCCCAGACTCTGTCGGTCATAGGACAACTAAAGGAAATGCATAAAATCCACCCCAGCCAGCCAAGGTACAAAAGGGAATTTTGGTGAAGTTTAGCCATGGTGCGGGCTTCCGTCCCAGTAGCTAAGAATGTCTGGGTCTTGCATGAGAGCCAGGGCCCAGGTAGGATCTGGGTGAATGTCTGTCTTCTGCTCTGAACCTGGCCTTGAATCTTTGATCTTTGAGGCTAGATGGATTATTCAGCTCCATCTCAATGGTCCTACCTGGTCTCTGTTCCATCGTGGAGGAAACCCCTTTCCTAACTGGGCTTCTTTGTGATGCTAATCTGAATGTCAATTCTTTCCTCCCTGGCTTGATGTTCTCCTGTTTCCCAGTCTTGGGAAAATGTCTTCCCTCATTACCCTGTTCCTCTCTGGTTTCAGTTTAGATCCATTTGAGTTTTGGCCAAACTGAGAAGATTCTCACAGCTCACTGCACACAGCTGGGCCTGTTCCTTCGGTTATCCCAGCTTCTGCGTGGTTAGGTTCGCTCAGAGCTCTCGCTCCAGGAGCCCATGGACCAGATGAGAGCTGCCATCTTGCAGGCAATTCCTCTCACCATGTATCTGTACCTCTATTTCTTGTGTGTGTGTGTGTGTGTGTGTGTGTATATACCTCCATTTCTAGTCCATTCACCCATTCATTCAGCAAGTGACACTAAACATGTATGTACAAGCAGGATGTTGCCTCCCTGGGTAGCAGCAACACAGCTTCTGATTCTGACATCCCTCTTCCTTCCAACTCTCTCTCCTGTCATACCTGGCGTGATCTGGGTTACCTGGTTTCGTCTTACCTTCTCAGCTCACCCTGACAGTCCGAACCATCTTGCTGAGTGAGGGACACTCAGGCTTCACAGTGCAGAGCTATTCAGAAACTTGTGAGATATTTTCAGTGTGCAAAATGAAAAAGAACAGATTCTCCTAATCTGAGTGGGGTGAGGTGGTAAGGTAAAGGTTAGTGAAGTTCTTTGAGCCCTGTCCACACCTCCCCAGCTCCTGTTCAACTTCAGCAAACTACCCTCTCCACTCCCAAGTGCCCAGCCCTGCTTCTAAACCCCATGCCTCTGTAAAATAAAGAAGGTATATTTGTTCCACAGGGCCAAATTCCACAACAAGATAAGCAGATTAGAGATTAGAGTGGTTGAATATATACAGTACAGGAAATGAATTTTTTTAAGTGCCTATTAAGCACCAGTCTATGTTTATTTAATTAACAAAACCATCATGTGAAGTGGGTTTTTGCAAAAGGAAGTTGAAGCTGTGGATTTTCCTGTGGTCAGACAGCTAAGGTATGGCTAAAACCTCGCTCCTCCCTTCCTGAAGGTGGAGGTAGCAAGGGGTGGAGAGAAATTCTTTCCTCTTTTCTCTGGGTACAGGAGACCCTACAGCTTAACTGAACGACATAGGCCGTAGTTGGGGTCTGAAGGGCCCACCCTGGCTTGTCCCCTAACCACTGATTTTCTTCACAGAGCTGCACCAAGCCAACAGCTCCCCACTGCTCCGGGCCAGCCACCCTATGGAGCTGCGGGCCTGGGAGTTGGGGCACAGAGCTTCCAAAAGCCTTTCCCAAAGCCCAGGTGAGGAAAGGGTCCTGAGATAGAAGTAAAGCAGGATCTAGGGTCCCTACGCCCCCACAGCTGGTTCTGTCCCTGAGAAGCTGGGGATGTGGGCTGTGTGTCGGGCAGCTGCAGAGACTGGAGGGCAGACAGGCAGGCTGGGTCCCGGGCTCTTGGGTTCTGCCCTTCTCATGCTCCGACTACTGTTCCCCAGGAGCTGTGCCCCGAGCTCTGGTTGCCTGGCGGGCCCTGGGACCACAGCTCCTCAACTCTTCAAGTGAGCTGGCCACCCGCCCTCTCCCCCCAGTACCCCTCTCTCCTGGTGGAACCCCCATGCAGAGTCAACAGCCCCAGTAAGAGCCATGGGGTTAGGAAGCGGGGCTGGGAGTGCGGGTGGACGTCGGGAGGTGTGGACAGGGGCTCAAAGAGCCGCTCTGACCACCTGCATCACTGTCTTACCCCTAGCAGGTCCTCCACCGAGCCCCACACTCCCTCCTCCCTCCCCCTGGCAGCAGCCCCCCTCCCCATGCTGGCCCCCTCCCAGCCCCCCAGCCCCTCCAGCCCCCAGGCCTCTTCCCTCTCTGGTCCCAGCCCATCTTCCAGTCGTCTGTCCAGCTCTTCGCTGTCATCGTTGGAGGAGGATCAAGACAGTGTGCTGACCCCTGAGGCGGTGGCCCTGTGCCTAGAGCTCAGTGAGGGGGAGGAGACCCCCAGGTGAGTAGCCACTGAGCTACTGAGCAGTGTCCTGCAGGGGTGTGCTGACTTCCAGCCTATTCCACCTACAGGACAGGAATGTTTCTGCTGCTCTTCTCTTCAGCCAGCCATGGCGTTGTCTTACATTTGCCTTTTCTAGAAACAGTGTCTCTCCGATGCCAAGGGCTCCTTCACCACCCACCACCTACGGGTATATCAGTGTACCGACAGCCTCCGAGTTGGCGGACATGGGCAGAGCTGGAGGAGGCGTGGGGTCTGAGGTGATGGGTTTGCTCTGCCCACCTCGGACCTGCCCCACTCCCACCCCCAGCGAGGGCTCCTTGGCCAATGGCTGGGGTTCTGCCTCTGAAGATAATGCCCCCAGCGCCAGAGCCAGCCTCGTCAGCTCCTCCGACGGCTCCTTCCTAGCTGATGCCCACTTCGCCCGGGCCCTAGCAGTGGCTGTGGACAGCTTCGGCTTAGGTCTGGAGCCCAGAGAGGCAGACTGCGTCTTCACAGGTACATAAGAGCACCCCATCTTACTCAGATCCCCACCCCTGGGAATGGACACAGCTCCTGAAAACCCCCACACACACACTTCTCCCCCACCAAGAGGCAAGTTTTGCTAATCATTCATTATCTTCCTTGTCATCATCCTTAACACAGCTAATCTTTATGGACCATTTACTATGTTAATGTTAATGGTAACTCAGTGAGGGCTATTCTTTATCTTTCTTTTCCAAATGAGGAAATGGTCAGTTAAACTGGTTTTCAACTTGCCAGAACTCATCTGAGAGAAGGAGACCCAGTGGTTTGATTCTCAAGCCAGAAGGCTGCCAGTGCTCTGCTCTGACTCCCAGCCTCCAGACTCGGTCTCCAGGCCTCTGCCTCCTTAATTTATGCTAACCCAGCATGTCATATCCTTATGACGGGCAGCTGTTTTCTCTCTTACCAGCCCAGCTCTTTGCTCCGTTTCAACCACTCCTCTATTTCCTCATCTCTGGAGTCACCCCATCTCCTGATTTCTCTTGGAAATTTCTTTTTTTGCATGAATAACTAGGGTACAGTCCAGAGGTGCAGGGGGTAAGAGGATTCACCTGAAGCAGAACAGGAGGATTTGCTGAAATACACTGCCAAGGGGAGCAGTGGGTGAGACTAGAGAGGTCTGCTGCGCTATGTGGGTCAGCTCCCTAGCTGGGGCTCAAACCCAGGCTATAGTGGTGATAATGGTTAGACTTAACCCCTAGGCCACCCCGGAGACCCCTACCCCCGGCCCCTACTGGAACTTTCAAGCTCTTCCTCTTGCCCCTGTGGCCGGGGTCAGGAGCAAGCTCAGCCCTGCACAGCTAGCAGCATGGGGCTGTCACCTTCAGGCCTGAGGTGGCTCACAGCTTCCCTTTGGTGGACCCTATCCCAGGACTCTACCAGACTGCCACCAGGCAGTGGCACATAGGAGAGTAAGGATAATCCACCACAGAAATGCCCACAAGGGATGGAGAGGGGTCCCCAGGGAATGGGAGAGTTTGCCTGGAAGGCTGGAACTGGGCTGGGAGAAAACAATTTCCAGCTTTTCTCTCCAAAGAATCAGCAAGCTATCTTCTAGGTCTGAGGACTGGGCCTGCTGGGACGGGGCCACCAGGACTGAGGGGCAGTTGCGGGCTGGGTTGCATTAGGGTTGGGTGTGTGCCTTCAACTGACCCTAGGATTTCTGTCTTAAGTTGGCTCTGAGGGGTGAAGGTCAACTCTTCTCACACATTCCTGCCCTACCCAACAGATGTCTCCTCACCTCCCTCCCCCCTGGACGACCTCTTCCTGACATCTGCCCTCTCCCTGCCCCTGTGGGAGTGGAGGTCAGACTGGCCAGAGGACTTGGAGAATTCCCACACGCAGCGTCTGGGTAGGGGCCGGCCTCCTTGGCCCCCCGACTCTCAGATCTCTACCCAGAGAAGTCACTTCGGTGGTCCTGAGCCCAAGGGTGGCAGTAAGTGTTTGTCTGCTCAGCTGATGTGGCCATTGAGCAGAGGGCCCCTACGGAAGAGCCAAGAGGGAGACTGGGGTCTACCAGGAGAGAGAAGGAGCAGGTGTGGATAACTCTACTCTCCTTCACCTTCTCCTACAGACTCCTCCTGAAGTGTGTTCCTGAGCCCGCCAAGAACAGACTCAAAATGACTCCCGTCAGCCCCCAGCTGGGCTATGCAGCGTGGGTCTTGTCTTGAGGTCCTCGGTTGGGGTCCACCTTGGTCAGCCTCCAGGAGAGCTCTCCCTCCAGGATTGTGAAAACAGATGAGAACAAAGCAGACCTGATGCCCTTGGGGGCACAGAAAGCCACCCCCACCTGACTCCCAGCCCTGCTTTTTCTTCTGTTCCATTCACTCCCACAAACAGGTCTCATCTATCTAAGAGCAGCCCCATCTCCTGGCCTCCCCACCCACGTGGACCTTGGGGAGTAGGGGAGCCAGAGGCCTTCCTGGAGGACAACAGTGACATAGGAGAGAGGGCAGCAAAGGAAGAAGCTTCCATAACCTCCCTCTTATCCTTCTTTGGGCCATTCCTGCAATTTTCAACTCAACTCCAGAAACACACCATGTAAAAAAAAGAAAAAAGAATACGCTGAGCAGAGAGACTGCCTCAGGACCAAGGCAAGGGCTTCAAGATGGACCTGGCAAGGAAGCTGAACGAAGGGAGAGATGAAACTGTAGGACAAACACACCCTCATACTGTTGTCACTCTCAGTTTAAGGAATTTGATACTATAAAGCTGTAATGACTTGAGTTCTGTGGGGTTGTTCCCAGGGTCCCATGGAGGGAGGCCTGGTTCATGTGGGGAGAACAACCTGAGTTAGAAAAGGACCAAGTGTTCACTGACATTCAGAGTGTGTCTTTCTCTCCTGCCATGCAGTTGAGGGGGATATTGCATGCACCCATCAGGTTTTAAGCAAAATGTAGTCATGGGAAGGGTGAGGAATATTTCGGCATCTGCTGGTTTTAGTAACTTGTCCTGAGAAGGTAAGTCCTGCTTTCCAGGGTCTCACTTGCCCTCCCCAAGGCCAGTCCCAGATGATTTCTTAAAGGAGCTAAAGTAGTTAAAGTCCACGAGTGGAAGAAACACGCCATTATAGTAGACAAAAAAAAAGAGTGGGGCAAGACTTCCAGGGTCTGAGCCCCAGAAAACTCAGGTGGGCAGGGAGGCCGCATCTTTCTCACTGGGTGAGAAAAGTCAGAGACAGAAACCACTTGTTAGCTCAGAGAACCCAAGACCTTGGTTCTCTGAAGTTTCTGAGTATGGCCAGGCCTCAGGTAGCCTTCGGGGTGGCCCATGGGGAAGCAGTCCTGAAAACTCTGCCAGGAGGCTGCCGAGTCAGAGGCCGCGTGAGGCAGCCCTCGGCCGGGGAGCTTCCCGAGTCATTCCCCAGCCAGCCTGCCTCCAGTTTCGTGATCTCAGGATGAAGAATCAGTACTCAGGTGACACATCCGTTCCTCTCTCATTACTTTTCCTTTTAGGGATTTTGGTTTTCTTTTAGCTTCCTAGTAAAATTCCTTTTGAAAATATTCCAATCCAGTTTGCCAGACCAAAGGAAATTAAAACATCAGTGAAAGGGGCAGGAAAATGTTAGAGTCTAGATTTGGGGGGCAGCAGCCATCCCTATTCAGGGCCCCGAGCAGTTACTGCAGTAGGGGTGGCGGAAGCGAGCGGGAAATAAATCCCCAGCTTACCCGAGTGGCATACTGTGGGACAGAATGAGGGTGACTGTGGCTTCAATACTCAAAATCTTTAACATCTCTGAACCAGACAAACCAATCACATATGGGAGGATTTAGCCAACAGGTGCCCATTGCACACATATGGGGGGCTCTGGGACCTGAAAAACTTGTTTTTTTCCTTCTTTAACCAGGATTTCTCTCTGTTTCTCCTTTTTTTGAATTTAGACAATTTGTACTGTTGTGAGGGGCATACTTCCTCCTAGGCGAGCAGAGATATACCCAGTGGGCAGGCACTAGGCAGGCCTGGCTGTATTCTCCAAAGGAAGCTTCTCACTCTTGGCTATTGGTATTGGACATGGCCTCCTCGGTGAGACTGGGGTGTCAGCTCCTTCTGGAAACTGGCCAGACCAGCCCTGTCCTTGCCCTGGGTCTGAGAGAAGACCCAAAGGGAGTAGAAGTAGCCGTGTGCACTGAGGTACACCCTCGCAGCGCCTTCCACCTGGAGCCTGCTCAGAGCAGACAAACAGGGCCCAGGGTGCTGGTCAGGCTCTTTTATTGTCTTTCTTACAAGTGGTTCTCAGAAAGAGATGGAAAGGGAAGAGCAGGCTCTCTGGCTTCTAAGTCAATACCTGGGGGGTGGGGGTGGGGCCCAAGCAATCATTCCTGGGAGGGAAGATGCCCCTGGGCCTCTCTTTGTCCTCCCCCTCAATTTGCCAGCGGGAGGGACTTCTGGACAGGTCCCCGTCCAGGGATAATTCCTTCCCTGTCGCACTCCTGATGTTTTCATCAAAGGTCATCTTGGTTCCTAAAGAGAGAGAGACTGGTTTGCAGGAAAAGGGACAAGGGGCCCGTTTTTCCATTAGCCTCTCCCTGATCTAGTTCTTTTGTGGGGATCCCAGGCTGTAATATATGTCCTCTTGTCTTAATCCTTTGTTAAGGGTACTACAATATTTCTCCCTTCCTGAGCCTTTCTCACTGGGTCCCCTCCTTAAGACACCCCCCCCCACACCCCACATTCTCCCCACTAAACTCTTTTCCAGTATCTATTTTCCTGTTTTCAGTTCCCCTCACCCAACCTCCTTGGCCCTCCCCCCACCTCTCGACGTTTCTGTCCTGGCCTTTGGTTCTGGTTCTGGCTCCGGCTGCGGCTCCGGCTGCGGCCAGGGCCCCGGGAGCCCCGAGAGCTGCTGGAGCCTCTGGAAGAGTTGCTGCCGGCTGTGGAGCAGGTGCTGGTGCCCTGGCCCCGCGACAGGAAGCTCGGTCGGTTGTAGGGGAGCCAGGCCTCCTCTACAGCACAGGAAAGCAGAGCAGGTAGGCAGGCTGGGGCAGAGCATGGGGCTCACCCATGTGCCACCCACATTCCCCACTCAGGGAGAAGACTTGAGGGTAGGGAAGACTTGGGGCTCAGGCCATCCAGGGACTGAGCGGAGCAGAGCATCCTGCACGTGGCCTTGACATGACAGGCACTCAGAGATGGCACCAGCTCCCAAGCCCAGAGAGCCTTGGGAAGGAGGGACAGAACCCCCAGCAGCCTTCTCCCCTCAGCTGGGCTTTGGTCCAGGGAAAGGATGCAACTTGGAAACAGAGAGAGGGCTATGGAAACAAGTGGTCTTTGGCCCGTTGGGATCAAATGCATGAACCCAACGAGAGGTGAGGAGTGAGCTGGACTAAACCTCAGCCCACCCACGGCGCCCCTCTGCCCCGCTCTGTAGCTTCTAGCCTGGGAGCCCACTTTCTTGTGTGGCAGCAGCACCCTTCCAACCTGCCCTGGGCTCCCTTACCATCCGGGTGAGGACCCCACTGGGCCCCCAGGGGCCCCGCCTGCACCATTTTCCTCTCCCCACTGCGCTCCCGCTCTCGTTCCAAGGAGGACATGCTGCCTGCTGCTCTCAGCCCTAAGGCCCAGGCTGCCTCTTCCTCTGGGGGCGGCAAGGGTGGTGGTGGCAAGTCTGGGGAGAGACCCGGTTTCAGCAGAGTCTCCTGTTTCTCCTTCCGCTCCTGTCCCGTTCCCTGGCACCCGGAGGGTGTGTACAAACAGCCCAAGATTTGGATTCATATGTTTCCTCCTCCAGCCCTCAGAGCTCACCCGTGTTTTCCGGCCTGTCCCCCCTTCTGTCGCCATCTCGCAGGCCCATGACCCTCTCACCCCCAGGACTGCGCTCCCGCCTGCAGGGAAGAGCCTTGGGTTTCTTCCGGAATCTGGCACGGGCCCCTTGAGCTGGGGGAGTCATCTCCCCAGCCACCTGCCGGCTCCTCCCTGGAGCACAGAGATAGGGAGAGGAGCAGGGAGAGAGAAAGAAGACCAGGAAGGGAGGTTGAGGGCAGAGGGAAACAAGCATCAGGATTACAGGGAGGTGGGGGCCAGCCAAGGGCTCTACAGACTCACCTGGAGCATTGCTGGCTGTGCTAGGGACAGAGCTGAGGCTGAGGTGATGGGGGGCAGTGGGGCCCACACCCGGGCCAGCAGGCCTCCCTTCGTGGCTACTCAGAGTGGGCTGAGCTACACTGAGAGGGGAACTCGGCCCCAGGGGCGCCCTCCTGCAATGATGTCAGGTCTCAGCATATGTCCACGTAACAAGCACTAAGTGCTGACAATGTGCCAGGCACTGCACAAGACACTCAGCCTACCACTCAGGTGAATGAGACAGAGCATGTCCCCGTGAGGCTCCCAAGCTACTGAAGCAGCAGCGGGTCAGCCAGACTTTGAAATGCCCCAGGAAGCTTGTAGGGTGTCCCCAGGGGAGAAACTGTCTGCAGGGAGTGAGACCCTGTCAGCCTCCACATTCCTCTCCAAGTCACACCCCCTCCCCACTGCCATGCAGCCACAGACCTGCATGCCCCAGGCCTGCATGCCCCAGATTCACCCAGCCACCCACACACCCCATTAGCCACTCAACAGGTATGTACCAAGGGCCTGTAGTGTGCAAGGAAACCTGAGCCACCTACCTGGGCATTTGGTGGAGATGGGGAATGTCAGTGGGAGGCTGGGGAGGATCAGGAGGGGAGGGGGTAAGGGTGGCTGTGGACTGTTGTCCATAGGAAGGTGTGGGAGAGGGGGTTTCCCCTCGGGATGGAGGGACCAAGCATCCTCCGCTGGAGTCAGGCTCTGCTGGTTGGCTCCTCTCAGGCATCGGTGGGCACCATGCTTTGGACTCAGAGCTGAGAGAGAGAAGCAGGAGGGCAGCGGTGACTAGCAGCCACTATACCCTTTGCTTTCCTGACACCCCCTCTCCCAGCATCACTGCCTCCCCCCAGCAGGCCCAGGCAGGTCCCAGGTATATCGGCTTCTGCAGCCTGGCACATCTGTACCCGGCCTCCTCCAGCTCCTCCTCAGGCCCCCCGAGGCAGTTCAGTTCACAGGATGGGGGAGGTGGTGGCAGGGCTTCTGGCCAGTTGAGAGAGGGCATCTGCACAGCTTTTCCCAGAAGTTTTACTTTGCCTCCCCTGGCTCCTGAGGAGAGTAGGGTGGGCGCAGGGGACACACCCCATAAGATTAGGTAAGAGACAGAGACAGGTAAGAAGGAAGTGCTGGACTAGGTCCCCGAGGAAAGTTGGTGGGTGTTCTCCAGGGATATGCTGCTAAAATGGGGGTGTTAGGAACTGGAATCATACCACTGTCCCCCTGGCTCCATTCTGGAGGGGCATACTGGCTCCAGGTGCCTGGATCCCCTGAGAGGTGTTGGGGGAACCCCCCATGGAAGGTCTGTAGCTCTTCCCCCACTGGGTCAATGGTGCTGTAGACAGGACCCTCAGCAGGGGCAGCAGCACCCCTGGCTGTCTGAGCCAGGTATAGGGAGATTCCAGCTTCTGAGGAGCAGAAAGAGGGAGGCCCAGGGGAGGGAGGGGGTGGGGGGAGCAGAGACAGGAAAACAGAGAACAGGAGAGTGGCGGGCAAAAAGAAGTCCCCCAGGATTGACTTCTTCCCCCACCCCAAACCATACTTCCCAAGCCAAGACAGAAGCTAGGCCTGAGAGTTTCCCCCCAACTCACATGCTCCCCAAGGACTGACCCACCTCAGGAAGACCTGCACGCCTCAGCTCCCTCCAGATTGCCCCAGGAGGTTGAGAAGGAGAAAAGGAAGTGTGCTGGGGGGGGCAGAAGTGCCCCTGAGGGAATTACAATTCCTCACCATTGTAATATCTGTCATCTGGGTCAGGATTGCTAGGCCGGCAGCTTCCCCTGGGTTCCTGGGCTGAGGGGCTCCGGGAAGGGTGTGGCCATGAGTCTGCCAGCCATGGGTAGGGAGCAGGGCCAAGGCCCATGGACGGCCTGAGGGAGAGCATGGAACTTGGGGAAGGCAAGGGAGGGAGGGGTCACTGGGAGCTGGGGAACCGTGATGGTGTCAGGATGGAAGCTGCAGTCAGTCGGCAGTGAGGCCCAGAGAGGAAGAGAGCAGTTTCTCAGTGGAGGGGATTGTCCTTGGGAGATGAGTTTCAGAGAATTACCTGGCACTGGCTCCAGAGAGGCCCTCTGAGTGTGGGAAAGACACTGGTAAGGTGAGGGGGAGACTGAGTTGAGAGAAGAGCCGACACTAGGGGTGTGAACCCCACTGGAGCAAAGATGGCTTACCTGCAGGTGTGTAGGCAAAAGAGGCTACCGTGGGGGAAAAAAGGAAACATGGGAAAAAGAAAAAGGGAAATGAGAAAGGTCGGAAATACCCATAATCTTGTTCAGCTCATCCAGGTCCCAATTCCACCACAGGAGTCACCCCGGACCAATTTCATCAGGATTTCTAGGGGTGAGACTCAGACAACAGTGTTTTTCTACAGCGCCCCCAAATGATTCCTGTGTATAACCAAGACTGGGCGTCACTGCGCTCTCAAAATCCGCTCGGATGTGCCCCTTACCTGGGAGGAGCAGAATTCCAGTGGTCTCAGCAGCCCGGCCTTCCCATAGACCCCGCCTCACAATTTAGTGTCTGGGGTCCTGGCCACGCCCCCGCGGGCAGGCCCCGCCCCCCGGCCGCGTCTCCGCCCTTCTCCGAGACTCCAAACCTGCCCCTTCTCTGCAGACACTAAGGAGCCCGCTCTCTTCCCAAGACATTTAAAATACAAATGGAACCCGGGTGCCCAGACTCAGGTCTCTCTCCACCCTGTCCGCCCCACCCGCCCTTCCACGCCCCCGTCCCGACGGCTCCGGCTCCGTGCAAACCCCGACTGTCTCCAAAAGGCGGAGCTCCAGGAGTGGCCCTGCCTGTCCCTCTCTCCCGCCTGAAGGGCGGATTTCCAGGCTCGGTCCACTCCCAAGCCCTCCTTTCCGTCACCCAGCGCCGGAGCGGGCGCCCCAGCCGGCGCTGCCCGTCAGCGCGGCTCACCCGTGTAGTGACTGAGCTCCTTGCGCTGCCTCCGGCGCCGGTAGAGCGCGGCGCACAGTCCCAGCAGCAGCGCTCCGCAGGCGGCGCCGCTGCCCGCGAGGAAGGCGGGCTCCCGCAGCACCCTCGCCAGCCGCTCAGCTAGGCCCGGGCCCACCTCGAGCCCAGGCTCCAACTCCGGCGGAGACGCTGTGGGGGTCAGAGAGGTGAGGAGAGAGGGGTCTAGAAGCCCAGTAGCTGGGGACCCACCTCTTGCCCCCCCTGAACCCCTCTGCGGACTCACGCAGCTGCACCAACACCGGAGCACTGGCCACACCCACACCCGCGCTGGTGGCCGCTGCGACCAGTGTCTGGTAGAGAAGACCCGGCAGCAGTCCCCAAAGCACCGCTGAGCGTGCCCGGCCTTCTGCTGACCGGTTGAGGTGGAAGCGGCTCTCGTTGCCCAGGCACCAGATCTGCGAGGGCAGAGACCCAGGTGAGAGTCAGACACAAGATTCTGGCCTCTGCTGCGACTTGAAGCTCTGAATGATAGAAAGAGCTTAGCCGGGCATTAGCCGGGCATTAGCCGGGCATACTCCAGCCTGTAGGCAGACAAGGCTCTGAAACCTTTCTCTTCTCCTAACCTCATGTCCGGCCCTGGAGCCAGGCCTGGGCATTGTCCTCCCTAATTCCAGGCCCTAGGTCCTTCTGCCCGTGCCACCCCACCCCCACCCCCAAGTCCTCCCACCCACCCAGTCCTTCTCAAACCCTGTACCTGGTATTCCTTGATGACCCCATTTTGTTGGGAGGGAAGTGGAGGTTCCCAGGACACAGTGATACTGCTGTTGCCTTCACCCCCCAAGGCCACTGCCACTCCCTGGGGGGGACCACTGGGGGCTGGGCCAGGGCGGAGCACATTGAGAAGGACACAGACAGTTATTGCAAGCTGGCCCTCATGGCCCAACCCTCCCCGTCCAGGTTTGGAAACTGAGAGGCAAGCCACGTTTTCATCCATCCTCTGGCCTTGCTGTGCCCCAGTGAAGTTTCATTGTCACCACAGCCCCCTCCCTCCTGTCCATCCATCAGCTCTTCACACCTCCCTTACCCTCCTCTGGAATGGTCCTGGTCACCAAAGGGCTTTCAGCCCCCAGCCCCTCCTGGCCTTGGGCTTGCACCTTGATCTGAACCTGGGCCCCTGGGGGGAGTCCTCTTAGCACAGTACTTTGGTGGTTTAGGGACGGTAAGTCCAGCACTGTCCAGCTTCCCTCATCAGGACCTGCTACCATCCAAGACACCCGGTAACCTTGTACCAGCTGAACGGGGCCATCTACCTGTAAAGGATGGGACAAAGCATACGACAAGGGAACGCGTTTTCCAGGCCAGCCCCTGTTCCAGTCACCCAGCCACTCACCTGCCATCCTCTCGTCCCCATTCTTGGAGGGCCCTAGGTCCCCAGTATCATCCCTGCCCTTCACCCAGTCCCTGTACAACACTCACAGTCCAGGACACCTGCAGGGTCCGGGGCCCAAGGATGACGGGCTCCTGGATACGCACAGCCACTTCAGCCAGTCCCCGCTGGCCTCTCCATGGATCCTCCTCTGGCCTGGATGGGCTCTTGTCTGTGACCAAAGAGCCCACACGGCAGGGGCCACAGGGACTCAGGACGGAGTGTGCTTGCATCCTGCCTAGTCCTGACCCACTGCACCCCAGGGGACACCGGTCAGGGAAAGAGCCTCCAGGAGGTGGCGTGGGCTCGGAGCTAAGGAGTGTTCTTTCTGCACAGCTGCATGTGCACCCTGGAAAGACTTCAGTTCCTCCCTCACTTTCCCACATGAAGACGACCCCCTGTCCTAGTAGGCTACATGGTCTGAAGTGAGGTGCTACCAACATGACGGAATCACCCTCTACTTCTCCACCTCCCCCCAACCCTATTTTTCCCCCAACCCTATTCTTTGATGTCTAGAAATAGAGCGAGAGCCCCAGCAGGTACTTGTTACAGCTGCGATGTGGACCACATGGCCCTTCTCAGCTCCATGCACGGCGAGACCGAGTGGCCGTGGTGCCATGTTTGGGTGCACAGTCAAGGTGAAATGTGCCCATGAGCCAGGGGCTGGGCTCACTCACCCCGGGTGCGGACAGGCTCGGACACAGGGCTGGGCTCACTTAGGCCCCAGGCTCCCACCGCCCGCACCAGGAACAGGTAGATGGTGTCGGGCTGCAGGCCGCTGACTGTGTGTGTCTCCAGCTGCACACCATCTGCCACTGTCCGCCACGTGCTGCCAGCTGCTTGACTGCGCAGAAATGAAGTGGCAGAGCTGTCTGAGCCTGGGCCCCGCAGCTGTGTATTCCATCTCATCATTCTCGATGGACCCCACTACCTCCTCAACCCAGGAGAGGGCACTGCAAATCTCTCACATTAGCAAAGACCCTAGCAACATAGGGTCCCCTCATTTTAACTCTGGGTTTGTCTCCAGAGCTTTCTCCATACCTGAAGGCCTCTATCAAATAAGAGGTGACTGTGGCCCCGGCCTCTGGGTTGGGCTTCCAGGTCAGGGTAATGCTGTTCTTGGTGATCTCAGTGACCACTGGCTGAGAGGGAGGCCCCGGAGGGGTACTGAGTTCTGTAGGGGGGTCTGGTGATACTCCCCAATCTTCTGCAGTGAGGAGATAAACTTTAAGTAGAAGGATGGGGGAAGGGTGGCCCCAGTGAAGCCTGACTCCTTCCCAAGTGGAGCCGTGACATCGCGAGGATGCAGAGGGGGCCTTGGGTGCTAACCCCTTTTGCTGCTGCCCTTCTCCTGCCCACCAGTATGACCATGGCACTTGGAAGGTGAGTCAGTCCTGGGGTGAGAGGAATCACCTTTGAAGCAGTTTTGGGCAAAGATATTGGCAAAACAAGGGCAAGAGGAAAAACTCACCCCGCCTCCTAAGCCAGCCACTCCACGTGGCCTCCCCCATGGAACTCCGGGCCACACAGCTATAGAGCCCCAGGTCCATTTCCTGTAAGGGAGGGGAGAGGATCGGCAAACTGGACACGGCAAGGTAGGGTGAGAGGGTGGAGGTGGGGCTGCAGAAGCATGGGGGAGGATGTTGGACACTTCAGTGATCTGAGAGAGTTGGTGGGTAGAAGTGGAGTTAGTACCAGCAGGCACTGGCGAGCACTGGCCCGTGGACCACGTGGCCATTGTCAGGTACTCAATGTCCAGGGGGAGACTCACCTGCAGGGAGGCAATGTACAGGGTCCCGTTGGCCATCAGGTTGAGCTGGAGGTAATCCCCCTGAAGCCATTGCCCATCCTTCTTCCACTGAACACTAGGCTGCGGGTTCCCGGTCACTCTGCATGGCAGCCACACAGAGGACCCAAGGGACAGCGTCTGATTGACTGGTCCCTGGAGGATGATGGGCGGTAGCCCATCCAGGGAGGCTGTGAGAGAAAGAACCTGGGCACGTCAGTGGGGGGATCCCAGGCTGAGGCAAGCCAAGCCCTTGTCTGCATTCTCTGCTCCTTCACATAGCCCTCCCCTGGAGGGCACGGAGCTTCCATAACCAGTCTTTGCCCGGGACTAGTTTTCTATTAGTGGCTTCTGTGGCTGATTTCCAAACTTCAAGGACATGTGTCCCTCCCCCGAAGACAGATTATATAGAATTCAAGAAAAGTAGGCCTTATAAAGTCATTGCTTCTCCCGGGCCATGCATGGGTCCAGCCCTATCTCCATGACCACATACCTCCTTTCACCTCCAGCAGGGCCTTGGCCAGGACGCTGCCAGCCACGCTGACAGCCTGGCACACGTAGTAGCCAGCATCCCTGCTCTGCACTTCCCTGATGCTCAGCTGGCCTCTGGGAGAGACTGAGAAGCGCCCAGTGGGCTGCAGTGACTGACTGGGGAAAAGCAGGACCTGGGGACAGAGCAAGACACCCAGGTAGGCACACAGCCCAAAAGAGGTCCCCATTTCCAGAGAATTCCTAAAGTTCTAGTTCTTACTCTGTGCCCAACCAGTTGTGTGACCTTGGACAAACTAGTTAATACTTAAAACAGGGCCCTCTCTGGTGGTGCAAAGGGTTCAAGCGCAGCAGTATGAAGCTATCTGCAGCCACTGCAGCATGAGTTTCATCCCTGGCCAGGGAGATGACCCACATGTCCAGCCTGCTGCCCCCTCAGCAGTGTATTTCAGTCTATCTGCTTGTTCTGGTCCCCGCTCTGTCTCTGGTGAATCCTCTCATCCCATCCCCCACAGCTCTGGCCTATACCCCAGTTCTGTATGCATAAATAAATACATCTTTAAAAAAAAAAAAGTACTTAAAACAGTAAAACTGAAGGAATTTTATTAGATGATATGGGATATATTTCCCAGCCCTGTGGGAAACTCTGAGCGAGCTGTTTAAATCTCCTTTGCCCAAATTTGACTTAGAGTTCATAGTTACGAGGAGTAAATAAAGTAATTATATGAAGATCTTTTAATGCATTGTGTAATAAATGTTACCAGTTTCCCCTTTCTGGCTTAGTGTTTTATATGAACTTCAGGGAAGGGAGAAAGGAGGTTAGAGTCTCAGGATAAATGAGACCATCATGCTGAGTCCCACCCTTTACTATCATTAGCATTTTTATCCATTTAACTAAGTAAAATGCAATAGTTCCAGAAGCAAGAGATGTTGGAAAATTGTGACTCTGGGTTTGGAATGAGGTAGTGGGTGGCCCAGTTTCCCAGTGGGATGGATTTAGTCAGCCTGTGTCCTAGAAGAAAATTTCCACCCTTCCCTGAAAGGGTATTGATTTACTGTGTAATTTCACTAAATGTCATTTGGTTATTCCAGGGTTTGCTAAAGCTGAAGAAGGATAACTGTGAACTCCCCTTAGTGAACAGAAGAGCAGGTCCTGTTCTATTCTGGCACCCTGATGCAGGGCCTACTTTTCAGAGCACTGTGTTAAATAAAACCCGGGCCCTAAGGGACCTGTAGTAGCAGGGTCTGATTGGATTTGCTACATCCTCGGGACTTTCTTACCCAGAAGAAAAAGATTCTGAGGAATTACCATTCAGGACTGTTTCCTATCACCTTACTACACAATAAATCCCAGATCTTTTATGTTCCTTATTTTATTTAATCCTCCCAAATGACCTGCAAATGTTTCCAAGCGAGTGGTCCAAAGGTAAAACAGAACCCCAGAGAGAGGTTTACAAAAAGCAGAAGGAGGGAGAGCCAAGACTCTGAGGAGGAGACTAGGAGCCGCTGGTGGGACCGTGGGAGGTGGCCACCTACTTGGCTTCCTTCCTTCTGCCAGAAGATGGCTGGTGGGGGGTTTCCTTTGGTCTCACACTGGAAAGTTACACTCTCTCCAGGAGCTGCCATCTGGTTCTGGGGCTGGGTCACCAGCTGGGGCGGAACTGGGAAGGGGTGGAGGAAAAAGGAATGGGGGGGGTGGTAAGAACAGGACAGAGAGATCCAATGTGGCTGAAGTAGGAGCTTAAGCCCATGCAGCTCTTGCTCAAAGCTGTCAGTTTTCTCTTCTCTCTCTCAGATGACCCACCTCACGCCTCTCCTTCTGTCTGTTGGCTTTCATCCTCCATTTGACCCATCCTCCACCTCCCCTCCAGATCTTCCCCACTGCACGCAGTTCCAGGTGGGTGCTCACCGTGAACAGTGAGGGAGCCAGAAGCTTCAGCACGTCCGATGCTGTTCTCCGCCACACAGGTGTACATCCCCTCGTCTTCAGCACGCACACGCCCAATCCAAAGGCTGTGGTTGCTCCGGATCTCATACCTGCTCCACTCCCCACCCCAGGCTGGGTTGGCCACAGCTACAGCACCCCTTTTTCTCCCCCCCCAGGACAGACACCAGAATCAGGGAACAGGAACAAGGCAGCTTCAACAGGGACAGAAACTGGGGCTTGTGGGCCTTTGAATGAAGGTGGAAACTGAAGAGGGCAGGGGCCGTAGGCTCTGGGGGACACACTACTCATGCACCAAGGGAGAAGGTGCCTGCCTTCTAATTTTCTAAGGTAAGGGGCATTCTTGGGCTGGTTGGTTCTCCTCACAGGCAAAAGGAAGGGCTCTCTCACCTGCCTGTGGGCAGTTCCCCATCCTCCTTGCGCCACTGTAGACGAGGCGGGGGATCCCCCTGCACTACACATGGGAAATCCACTGGGGCATCAGCCAGGACCACCTGATTCACTGGTCTACGCAGAAATGATGGGCGCTCTATGGAGTGAGTGAACAGACAGGAGGGGGCGTCAGCACAGCTGCTCACTCCCAGGACACCCACTCCCTTAGCTCCCGAGTCCAAGCGCCTACCGAGCACCAGCAGCTCTGCTGCCCCACTCTCCCGTTCTCCTGCCATGTTCGAGGCCACGCACACATACATCCCTGCATCAGTCTTGTGTGTATATGACACCATCAGCTTCCCGCCACGGATCTGCAGAGTGATGATGAGAACTTTGGTCCTTCGTAGCCATGGAGGTGTATTTGCTTATCGGATCCCCAAAGCCAACCAAAGAAGACAGGTGAGGCTGATTTATTGATTAGGTGAGGAATCTTTAAGTGATTTCTTCAATGTGGGGTTCAGGTCTCTTTTCTCCAAACCGCCTTCCACCAGGCCAGCGAGCAATAAGCTTCCAACTATCTTACACTATTACCAGTGTCATCCTACCCACACTTATTTATCCTTCACCCAACAGCGGCTGGCCAGCGAAAGCCAGAGTTCACCTCTAAGACACAAACCCGCCCCTCCAAGCTCGCTCCAGGCCTCCCTCCTTTGAAACCCGACCTGGACCACTAGCCTATGGCTCCGCCCTCAAGCCCAAGCCTGGCTCTGAACCCCAGCCGAGGCAGCCCCCCTCCCTTACCGTGATTCTTCCCTCCTCCTCCTTGAGTCTAGCCTGGTTCTTCTTCCAGGACACCGAAGGCTCTGGGTGGCCGCGTGGGGGTACGCATTCCATTACTGCTGGCTCCCCCACTGCCACCACCACGTTCCCAGGAGACTGCCGGAAATCATCGCGGAGAACTGGAGACGAAGAGCAGAGAAGGAGGGCGAGGGAACGTGAATTAACGGTGGTGGTCTGTGGGAAGGCTGTGAGGTGAAATAAAGGTCGCACCAGGAAAGTGTTTGGGGGAGCGGTGCATCTTCATAGACTGAACTCTTCCCGGGTGCGAAAACACCAGGCCCCGTCCTCCAGCCCAGACGTGCGCTTTAGGTCTTGGTCCCAAGGACTGTGCACCACCAGCTGAGACTGGGGCTGGCACTGGATCGGATTACCCGGAGCCCTCCCGCCTCCCACAAGCTCAGAAGCAACCGGCCGACGACGGGACTCTCACCTGCCACTTCCAACGAGGCGTTCCGGCTAGCCGCTACTCCCAGGTAGTTGCGCGCCACGCAAGTGTAGACACCCTCGTCGGGTCGCGCGCGGCGGCCGTGAACGATGCGCGGGAAGAAGAGGGCGCCGCTGGGCAGCAGCAGACGGTGTGCGCGGGGGTCCTCGCGCGCCGTGGCCACGCGCGCCCCATTCTTGTACCACTCGATGTTGGGCCGGGGTCGGCCTTCGGCGCGGCAGGGCAGCGTGGCAGGTTCGCCTCGGGACACCAGCAGATCCGGCGGCTGCTCCACGATGCGCGGCATGGCGTCCTCCGGTCCAGCTCGTGACCCTACGGTTAGGGGGGTGGTGCAGAGCATTCAGTACTCGGAAACTGGGGGAGAGACTGAGCTCCAAAGAATTCCCCCTGACCACTCTTCTCTGCCAGTGCCAGTATCTCTCCCTGGGCTCATGTTCCATTGTTGGCTGGAAAGGAAATGCCTACACACTTGGGGAGCAGTGGCATAATAGGGGCACAAACTCCTTCCTAAGGTCGCCCAGACATCCGCCTTTTGTCCTGACAAGTGCAAGTGGACAGGATGGGCCCGGGCTTGGCAAGTGGACCGCCTCTCTCCTGGGCAGGTTTTCAGTGCGCCACGGGCACTGACTGGCAGATCGTCCCACTGGGTTACCAACAACAAGCGGTTCACCAGAACCAACACTTGGGTCTTCATCTCTTTGGTCTCAAGGGGCAAAATGAAGAATGTGGAATGGCAGGGGAGGAGGGAGGGTTTCCTAAGGAAAAGGCAGGTGGGAGTGAAGGCGCTGGAGCTGGGACTAGAAGGTATTCTTAACCTGGATGCCATTTGGGGCGCTCTGGACTGAATGCAAGCAACAGTGGGAAAGAGAGGAACGTTCTTTTTGAAAGGTACATAGTCTCGACAGATTGTGCTATACGTTGACGGAACCAAGAAAGACTAAGAACCACTTGGTGGCAAGAAATTCCTTCTCTTAGTCACTCGAATCAGTTCATCCACATGTTCTGCTCCAGCCTCTCCCTCAGCCCACATTCTTTTCCACTGGTTTCATCTGTGGCTGTAGGTTGGTTTCATCCAGAACGGGTCTCGCACCAACATTCCCAGCTTCATCCGAAGTGAAATTATAACCCGAGATGGCCAGTAGGCGCCGCTGTCGCCTCGTTTAATCTCACACTGGAGTTTGCCACCTACTCCTAGGTCCCCATCCCTCCTCTCGTTTCCAAAATAAGCAAAGATCCCGGTGCTTTGCAGCACTGGGGCGGGATCAGCTTTCACTTCCCCACCCAGACTCTGAGAAGTTATGATGGAGACAAAGCTGGACCGGTTGCCCATGCTGGGGAGAGTTAACATAATTGTTTGGGAACACACAGGGAAGATAATAATTTCCTGATTTCCTCCCTTCCAGGTAGAAATCTCTGCTGTTCGCCTGACTCTTCTTCATGTCATCCCAGTCCCAGTTTAGATAGACCGGATGGAACCAACCAGGGCTGAAATGTCTGCCTTGTACCCTTCCAGGCTGCAAGAACGTGGGCAGAGTATTCACCTCCTCTGATTCTGTCTCTTTCTCTGTAATATAGGGGTAGCGATAAGGCTGTCAAAAGACCATTAGGTATGTAAAGCACTTGGTGGGAAGAAGGCTAAATAAACATGACCATTCTACCACTAGTAGTGCATCCTCCAAGGCTTAACTTACCTCCCCCCCCCCATAGTGTCTACCCAAATGAGGTTCTACCAGATCCCACTATTCCACCCCACCACCCGCCCACACCTTCACGTAACCTCCTGGTGTAATAGAAGTAGGCGGGTCGATAGTTGCCAAATTTTATGCTGTTTTTGCGACTATGGGTGCAGTATTTATCTTCTTTAAGTTGTTTCTCAGTGGCAAAAATGAGACTATTGATGTCTCCCTTACATACGTCATTCAGTTCCCGAGTTAAGAGACAATGTATACTAAAACCATCGTATGAGAGTGTTTGGTGAACAGAGACATCGGGGGTTTGTGAGGAGGGGTCTGGACTTGGAAATCTAAGAAACTTGGGAGACTGGAGGTTTCTGCTTAGCTTTCATCTTCCTCATCCCTACTCCCTCCATCATACATCTTTCTGGTATGGCCCTTTCTTCCTTAATTCCGGTAGACACAGCTGCTGGCGCCCTTTCCCTGGAATTTCTTCCCTGCCATTGCCAGTCTCTGGAGATCCTCCAACAGCAGCTAATGAATAGCTAATGGCCATGTTAATGAAGCTCTGGGGCTCCGCCCCCAGCATCTGGAGAACGCCGCACATAAACGCCCACACATTGCCCAGGTCGTCTTTCTCTTCACCTTCGGGTCTCCAGCCCGGTGCTTGCCACTAAATTCCAGGGGTTAGAGTCAGAAAAACGCCGGCTGGGGAGGAACAGGAGAACCACCCGCAAAGGGCCCGGGATTTGGCAGTTCCCAAGGCGGCCGGCAGAGGGCGGGAGGGGGCCTCTCCGCGAGTTTCGGGTGAGGAGACTCCACTTCCCCACAGCGCTAGGGGAGAGCGCGCTGTCTCAGTCATTTATTAATCACAGTAATTAGCGGTAACGACCTAGCCGCCGGCACTGCCCTCCTGCCGCAGATCTGCCGGGGTGGGCCGGGTGTTAGTCCCACTCTGAGGGACAAACTTCTAAGTTTCCCGACACGATCGCCGCCCCAGTCACGCTCTGTAGTAAACACATCCAATATTTTCATTTCCTCACGCTCATTCTAAGAGAGTTCTCGAAAAATGTAGGGCCCTAAAGCAAAACCTGCTATCTGGGGGAGTCACTGAGTGGCCCAGTTTAACCCAGACCTGCCTGCACGCGCGCCGCCTCTGCCCCCTTGCAGTGGGTCTCAGCCTCCCTTAGCTGTGCCGCTGCCGCTTGGCCGCAGGGTTCGTCTCACCTTTGGGGTCCGGCGGGGTAGGTGAGGAGTAATGGGCCCAGCAACCATCTCCTCCGAAGCCCTCGACATCCCTCTGACACCCCCTGCCGGAGCTTAAGCCCCATTTTATCCCTCGGCCCCACGACGGAGCAGGTGCCGCTGGGTCCGGACATTGGGCAGGAGCGCTCAGGTCTCTCCACCTCGTCAGCCTCCCCCCCACACACACACACCTGGACCGCAGGTGCCCTCGGGGCTGGGTCTCACCGTTGAAGGACGGCTCGCTGGTGGGCAGCAAGCTGTGATTGAGCGCAGCCGTCGAAGAGTTGAAGCCGAAGAGTAGCTCGCTGGAGTTGGCGATGTCCCCGGCCAGTGAGTCCGCGAACAAGTTCATTTGCAGCAGCGTCTTGAGCAGGTAACGCAGCATGACGCGACCCGGCTGGGACCGGGGCGGGGGGCTCGGGACCCAGGCCCTGGGTCTGAGACCCGCGGGCCGGGAGCCGTAAGCCCCTCCGCAGCCTCTGCGCTCTGCCCCAGCCACGGTGCCGCTCTCCGGCCGGCGCGCCCGGGGACGGCGCGGACCTCCGCGTGCCCTCCTCCTTCCCTCGTCCTTCTCTCCACCCCTCCGCGCCGGGGTCCCCGGGGGCTGGGCGGACTGAAAGCAGGTGCCACGCCGATCACGGCGTAATTACGGGATTAATCCGCCTCCCTCCACCCTTCTACCCCCACCCGGACGGCCACTAGCAGGGCAGGAGCCTGGAGTCTCGCAGCGCGCGAGTTGGGGTCCCCGCCCCACGCCCCGCGTCGGAGTCCGGACGCCGCAGGAGTTTCCCTCCTTTCTCAAACCTCCCAAGATATCGACTGAGACTCTGCCGGACTCTGTCCTCCTGGCAGACTTTAGAATAGGAATCCCGCCTCTCTGTTCCCGGTCCTTAGGAAAACTGAGACAAGCACAAACACGGTGCCCCAAGTGTGGGAGCCCTGGCTTCCGTCCTTTCCCAAGTTCTGGGTTTCAACTGCGAAAGTCCGGGGGTCGGGGAAGCGGGGGTTGTGTGGGTGAAGAATAATTCCCTCTGGCTCTCGGGTGCCTGGGCTGCCGGGGGAGACCGGAGGAGGGGGGAGGGGGTGGAGCGTCTGGCCCCCGAATGGAGTAGTCCCTGCGGGAGACTCCGGACGGGGATAAAACTGAGCGTAGCTAACTTACTTCTCTCACGTTTTTATTTGCATACTTTTACTTTGGCCCGCTCTGACATGTTCTATTAAATCGTTTTACTTTTTAGAGGAGACCGAAGGGGAAACCAAGGGTCCTGAACAAAGACAAAGAGAGAGATACCATCTCTGTAAGAGCAAGTGCAGAGAGGCCAGTTGATGCAAGACGTGTGCACATCTGCGGCGACCTGATCACCGTGGTCCTAACCAAGAAAAGTAAAAGCCACGGTGTTATGCTGGAAATAGCATTAAGGCGTCGGGGGAAAGAGAGAAACCAAAATTAGGGGGAGGGTCCTGAGTTGTGGGTTCTGGCTCCACCACACATTGGGTGTGATGGTACAACCTTAGTAAAGTGGGGAGAGGCAGGTGAGCAGGTGGAGGAGACCCAGAGGGGAGGGTGGCGGCCCCAGAGGAGGTAGCCGCAGAGTTAGGGTTTCAGGCAGACAGTATTCAACTGAATGGGAGACTGTTGGGCACGAGATGGTCTGTCCCCAGATGCCTCCCTGAAGACACACCTGCTTTGGGGTCTTGAACTAGGCAATTTTGGTGTCTTCCTACCTCCTAGCCTCCACTCTGTGCATGATTTTTGCAAGGAAGTGGCAAAGTTAAAGTTTGCTGGGGAGAGGGACCCTGGGGCCTCCTCAGAGAGGCAGCACCTTGGGATTGCTCATTTGGCATCTGGTGTGCCTGCTCTGGACCAGGGGTCTGCTACCTCATAGACAACTTAACACTGTAGATCAGGAGGCTGAGATGAGTTGGAGGAGATGGATGACGGGCTAGCAGCACCAGGATGCTAAGAGCTTGATGTTTGTCTCTTGTGCCAAGCTGCATTTAGCTAAGAGATAAGGTACCTAAGAGATAGGTCACCCCCCAGGGGTGACCCACCCAGAAGTAAGTCCCATGCTGTATTTACTGGTAAGAAAAAACACCAGCTCCTTGGCCCTCTGTTTGCCCTCTATTCAGGAGGAATCACGCTTCCAGCTCCGTCCAGATCCCTTTGCTGGGCAGCTTCTGCTGTACAGTCCAGGGTCCTCTGCTCTGCCTCCCACTGGCCCAGAGATCCAGAAGCTCAGCCAGAATAGAAACCCAGCTTCTTGGCACTGGGCCTTGATGTGGGTTAGGGAGGACAGGACTTCCGCAGACCAGACCAGCCCAGCAAGCACATCCCACCATGTGGCTCCTGCCCCATCCTAATCCCCTGATTTGCTCCCTGTCGGCCTCTCAGCAAACACAGGGCCTGCCAGCGTCTAGGGGCTTGTCACCCTGTTAGCGGATTTGTTCCCTGAGACAGAGAAGTTAATTGGCCCTTTATGTGGGGATCAGGGTGTATTTGCTCAGGGCTCCCTGAGCGGAGGCAGCGGCTCAGCTCTTGGGCAAGGCTGCTTCCTAATCCCTGTCACCCTGGGTTTGGAGGCTGGAAAAATAGGGGGGCCACAGTTTCTTCCAGGGCTCTCAGGCCCAGTGTTTCTAGCCCTCTTTTATAACGCACCATTTCTAGTACTCGTTTTTTTCTTCTTGCTCTTTCTTTCTGCTTCTCAGCATCTCTGGACTGCACTCCTTTTAAACTAACTCTGATCTAATGTCTAAAGCAGGCGAGTCCATTATGATGAAGACCTCCAAGCATAACATAAGCTCCCCTCACCCCAGTGTTCCTAGAGCCCTGAGCCTGGCAGGGGTCCAGCCCTCTCCTTCCCTCCCCTTCTTTACTTGAGCTCAGATGGGCAGCCTAGGAACTGGCCTGGGCCTTTTCAAGTCCAAATTCTCACTGACTGTTCCTTGGGAGGAGTTTCCCTCTTACTTGTCTTCACTGCCTGCCCCATCCCCTCCCCCCCCCTCAAAGAAATCATGACACACCCTACCTGGCTTCTAACTTTTGCCTACGGAGAGGTGCTAACTTAGAGCATCTCTCTCTATTTCTTATCTTGTAAACTACAGGTGCTGTACAGCTCCTAGAACACTCTGTGTGTGTACACTGTAATTGGAGTATCTTCCTTGGGGTTCCTTTCAACTGGTTGGTAACTTCCCATCTTAGGCTTAGAGAGAATCAGAGTTGAGGGTTTTCCCTTCTGTTGCCTCGGGAGATGGCTTCTTTTCCAGAATTTTATCAATAATGTCATCTGCACTTTAAGGGTAAGAAAAATAGGAGACTCCAAAGAGGAGTTGGCAGGAAGAATGTGTGAGTGCTGAGTCTGGAGTTAGTGGATAAGTATTTTTGCGTAGGGTATGGCATCTTGTGGGAAGAGGAGTGTGTGTGTGTGTGTGTGTGTGTGTGTGTGTGTGTGTGTGTGTGTGTAGGAAACCATTCCTACAGAACAAAAGCCATAGAAAGGAATCAAGGGGTGATTAGGTCGATGTGGAAGTGGAATATGTCTTTCCCAGGGTGGTTGGTTTTGGGGTGAGTGGAAAATATGGAAGGGGTGAATATGGTAATATGAGAAGACTGTTCAAGAGTGGTGTGTGTGTGTGTGTGTGTGTGTGTGTGTGTGTTTTGAGGGACAGAATAACTACCTCGGGGCAACTTTCTTGGCCTACTGCCAGCAACATAAGCCAGGGAAAATGGCTGGGAATTTGCAGGGACCAAGTTAGGGACTCAGAGAGGCTTTTTGGTGGGCCACAGCCTGCCTGCCAGCTGATAGGGATGAAGCTGCTGGCATGTAATTGCCTGGGAGGGCAGTTGAAGGAAAACCCATGCTCTCACACTGATTACTGCCACTGCCCCAGTACACGCACACACGCACACACGCACATGCCAGGTACATTTACATCCCCCTAGAGCCTGTAGCCTCCCATCACTCTCTGCCTGGACCCCTTCCCAGGGCACTGATATGCACTGAACATATGTGTATGTTTTTGTGGGGTGGGGGAAACAAGGAATTAACATCTGTCCCCCACCCCCACTAGGCCAGCCTGTGAATGGCCCAGCAGGGTCCTGGCTTCAGAGCTGAGATGCCAGGGGGGCAGTGACCCAGCCGGCTGAAGCCAGCATGCCAAACAGGAGGGGGGAGCAGAGAGCAAAGAGCAGGTCTGGGCTGGAAAGCAGACCGCAGGAGCTTACCCCGCAGGAGCCAGGGTTTGTTGGCTCAGTCCCTGTCGCTGCTGAGATAATAAGCCAGGCCCCCCCCTCCTTTGCCCAAGAGTACCCTATACCCCCAACACACACATAGGGTTCCAGCTGAGAAACTGCAAGGAGACACTTTGCAAAGCATTGAAAATGTGGAGGCTAGTGAAATGTCTGCATCCCCTTACAGACAGAACAAACACAAGGAGAACAAGAACTTCCTTTTCTTTTATAAAACTTGGTGCAAACGGGCCCTCCCTGGTGGCGCAGCGGGTTAAAGCACAGCACTGAGAATCTAAAAGCCGCTTCCGCATGAGTTTGATTCCCACCTGCCCTGGAGGTGACCACATGGCGTGGCAGACCTCTCCTGACCCGCCCGCTGCTCCCCTCAGCAGTGTACTTCATTGATCTGCCTGTTCTGCTCCCCGCTCTGTCTCTGGTGCTCTGTCTCTGGTGAAGCCTCTCGCCGCCCCTGAGCCTCTGGCCTGTACCCCAGTTCTGTATGCACAAATAAATAAATCTTTAAAAAAAAAAAAACTTGGTGCAAGCAAGCCCTCCATAAATACAGGCTTAGGGACTATATCTGATTAGCTAGTCCTCCCAACTGCCCCTTTGGAGACCGCTGGCCTTCCCTTCTCTCTCGCTCTGTCTACTTTCTAGCTCTGTCTCTTTCGCTCCCTCTCTCCATCTACCTTTCTTTACCAGGGCTGTTATAACCAAGTACCACAAAGAAGCCTACAACAACAGTTTATTCTCCCACAATTCTGAAAGCTAGAGACCACGAGTCCTACTCCCCTCACCTTCCACCAGAACTCTGCCCAGTGTCCTGCCCCGCCTCCCTGCCACCAATTCCCTCTGGTAAGCAGAGTAGTTTTCCGAGTCTGAGAATTATTTCTACTGTGTTTCTATGGCGGTGTGAAATATACCTCCAGAGTCATGTCAGCCTGTAAACAACTAACAAAATTAATATTAATATTTTCTCAAATTAATGAAATATGAGAAAAAAGCAAATACTTTTTAGGCACTTCAAAATAAATAAATTAGCAAACAAGTAAAGTCAAGGTGTCCGCAAAACTATTCTTTCTCTGCAAGTGCCAGGGAACAATCCTTCCTGGTTTCTTCTGCCTTCTCGGGGTTGCTAGTAAATCCTGGCATTTCTT